GCCGCGGTGGTCGCTTCATCGGTGGCCTGATTCTGCCGGGCGGCGCCCATCAGCTTGCCGATGGATTTCTCCAGCTGTTTGATGCGCGATCGAGGGGCCTTGAGCTCCTGATCTAGGCGCTGGGCCTCCTCGGACAGGCGCAGGATCTGAAAGGGATACTCGGCATGGGAAGGGTAGTTGCGGTCGACGCTATTCTTCGAGTAGCGTTCGGGGTGTTGGCGGATGTGTTTGACGTCCGGAGACGGCTTGGGGGCGGTGGCCGGTCGTAAGGAATTGGGACGAGATGCAGAGGAGGAGAAGAGGCGCCGGGAGAGTCTGCAATTGAGGCAGACGTAGGGGACACGAGGCGCCATTGTAGAGGGGTGAGGTGGAAGAGTAGAGGAAGACGAAGAGAAGGAGGAGAGCGGTGGAGGAGGGAAAAGTAGATGCCCGGATCACCGCTTCCCCGATTGGGAATCTTCCAAATACACAGCAGTCTACGTTGTACTGCTCGATTCTTCCATTCCATTTACATCTCGATGCGTTATTCATGCCTTATGATCATTTTTGAAATACAATTCATCGTCACATCCTAAACTAAACCCAGTTTATGCTTTTTAACGCGAGCCCCCACGCCCAGCAGCACCAGGACCGCCGCAACCAAGACCGCCCACAGCGGAATGGCCAGAACGGTGAGATTAAAGGTGGTCCGAGTGGCCGCCGCGACGGTGGACAGTTCCAGGACCAGCAGCAAATATCCCGACAACCGATGGTACTTGTAGACACTTCTTCCCCGGTCGGCGCTGCCCAGGACCAATCGAGGGAGAAAGTATTGCACGATGCCGCTGAGGGACTGGAGAATAATCAGAATATACGTGATCAAGCCGAGAATCCCATGGGGCGAGGTCAGTCGCGGGTGATCGCCCTTGTTCACCTCGATGACGATGAAGGCGGCGATAAAGGTGATCAGACTGACGGCCTGCAAGGAGTAGTGCACGCGAGTGCCCAGAGTCTTTTGCTGGGGAGTGACAGTGGGTTGGAGAATGAGTGCGGCCTGGACCTGTAGCAGAATGGCGGAGGAGTTGAGCAGCGGATGGGCGGAGAAGAGAATGAGTGGGTGGTTGAAGATGCCCGACCAGATCAAGATGATGAGCATCCAGATGCCAAACTGGGCAAAGGTTGCGGTTCCTAGACATGTCAGTCGGATTTAGTAGATTTCATCAGACTATTGTTGAAGTACCTGTAAAAAGATTGAAGAAGATGGATTCGTTGTCTTTCTGGATGACATCCCCGCGACGCCCCAGGAGTGGTTCATCTTCACGGGCCTCGATGGTGTAGGGATGGTCCTGGGGGATGCCTGTTGCGGAGGCCATATCAGTTGATACGTTACAGATGTAGGATGAGATAGGGGAGGCGAAGAGTAGAGAAGAGAAGAGAAGAGGAAAGGAAGAAGACGGAGAGAGAAGGCAAGATGAGATGATTGTCTTTTGCGATGACGAATGTGGGGTAATCTTATCTATCTGATTTGATCTCGATCGACTCCGGCTGGGCCAATCAGCGGGCGGGGATAACAATTACTTATACTTCACGATCACAAGTAGATAACACGTCCATTACTACCTAGTATACTCCGAAGGTCCTATATAGAAGACTAATAGCCCTTAGGCTGGTACTTGCCCTTGCAGAGCTTGCAGTCCTCCACCTTGCAATTACGAAAGAAAAGCATCGGGGTGCCCGCATCCTCGTCAGAGCTCTCAGAACCACCCTCGCTGCTGGCCTCTCCATCGCTACCATCGGAATGAGACTCAGAGTCAGACTGAGACAGCGTCAACGAGAAGTCGGACACATCGTCCTCATCAGCTTCGGAGATCGCGGGCAGGGGGGAGGAGGAGACGTACTCCTTGGGGGGCTCCAGTCCGTTGGCGCGGTCCTGCTCGTCCTCCTCGTCCAGCGCCTCCAGCTGCTCCAGGAGCTCACCAAGCTCGTTTTGCACCAGCTCGTACTTGCTGGGGTCACCGAGGGTCATCTCGAGATTGGCAGTAACGGCCGCCTGCAAGGCAGCGCGCTCTTCGGCAAGGTTGCAGTAGGTCGACATTGTCACGTCCAACGGAGGACATAGATGTATGTATAGGGCGTGTTTGCAGAGGGAGTGAAAGAAAGGCGGATATATAGTGAATGAGAGACGCTTGGGTGGTTCGATGATCTACTTGGCATTGAATTCCACTGCGCTTATATACCTGTCCATACAAAGGCCTTCTTCTTCTTCTTCTTCTTCTTCTTCGGAAACGCCCATTGTTGCATAACCCATTGCTATTATCCACAAAGACAACAAAGAGACAAAGACACCAACTACCACGGCATCTTCAGCACGGCACTTTCCGTACCTGATCCAGGCTGTCCCACGACAACTTCCGCCCCCAGATTCTGCGGATCCAAGTTCATCACAATATTGAACAGCGTCGCAGTACGCACCGTGCGAGGTCGACTGGGATCTTCCTGGCAGCAGATCGACTGCGGCGCATTCTTCAGATCCGAGAAGATGCCATCACGCAGTAGCGGTGCGGTAATCGCCTCGTCGCGAATGCCGAGCTCGACCAGGTCATGCGCCAACTCCCGCACGCGATCCAGACGCTTGTCCGAGCCCGGCGCCCACGACGGGGGCACCTCGACGAACCTGTTCTCGATGAAATGGTTGGTGTGCGTGATAATTCCGTTCGGGTCCTCCGTCAGATGCACGTCGCCGAGCGGCGACAGCTCCAGCCCTAGGGAAGTCTTCGGATCCGAAATCAGGATGTGCTGGCTGGACGCCACGCCGCCTAGCGACGCAAGCCGCTGCAGCGCATCCGCCACGGAGGAACTCTCCAGACAAAGCCGCAGCGCCACATGGATGGGCATCTTGGCGCTGATACAGGGATGTGCCTTGATGGCGTTCAGACACGTCCCCACCCCAGCGGTATTGAACCCGATCTTGCCGACGATTCCCGCCTATCCTGCGATCAGCATCCATACAGTAGGCCAGAGCCCTCGATTCCCGTAATACTCGGCACTCACTTCGGTCACCATGTAGATTTTCGGTTTCCCAGCCTGCTCGATCGACACGAGCGCCAGGTTGGCCTTGACCATGTTCGTCCAGTCCCAGTTCTGCGCCAGCACGCGCGCCCCCGCGTTCTTCTTCCAGGACAGACTGGTGCAGCCGTCGGAAAAGCTCCCAAACGAAATCTCGCTGCGACAGTTCAGCGCGACGACATCGAGAATGTCCCGCCCTGCGCCCTCGGCAATCCCCTGCATTTCGGCGTACAGGTCGGGGGTCTTTTGTTCCAGCGAGGCGCGGAACTCCTCCGCCAGAGTGCGCACTTTCTCCCAGGACATATTCGCGGTGACTTCGAACATCTCCTCGTAGACTTCCAGTTGACGGTGGATTTGCTCGCGGAGCACACGGCCATGTTCCAGGCCAATCTACCATCTTAGTCTGGGTCGTAGGGAACGGAGAATGCCGGGGGAGGGGATCTTACCTCTCGAGGGGTGCCCTTGAGAGCGAGCTTAGGGGGATTGTTGTGTTCCAGCTTCATGGCGGTGGTTTCACACAGTTGCAGGGGATCTTTTAAAGATTGGTGAAGAGCAATGGGAGAGACGACGGCGGTCGCCTTATCAAGTCGGGGCTTCCCCTCATCTTCCCGGCGATGTTCCGAATCCTGCGGAGATCTCCATAACAAGTAGGAGATTTGTTTCACAGATGCGCCGGGGAGTGATTTCTATAAGATGAGATTCACGCTGCGCAGTGAAGGCAGTGAATTGGATGTTGGATGGCGTCATTGGACCGCAGAAGCCCCGACTCTGTCTTTATTGACGCACCGCCAACTGTGCATCTTCTCTTTGATATCGACCAATGTACTTTGTATATCCTGAGAAACACAATGTTCTGAGCAAACACGAATCTGCACTGCACTGCATTGCATCGTACTGCACCTGCACCATCCTGTTCTTCGCCTCACGCATGATGTGACACGATCGAGTCTCGCAGTCCTCACTCTCAGCTCTGATACCTACCACGCAAGAGCAATAGCCCACCGTCCCAGCCTACCAGGCCAGATGAAGGCCGCTAGCGAGATCACCCTCCTCACCACCTCCTTAATCTCTATATCGATCAAGAACCGCGATGCGGGCGGCACCATCCATCGCCCTGATGGCGCCGACTGGGCCACCCTCAAAACCTCGATGCACCGCCTGCTCGTCCTGCGCGGCCTGATCCCCAACGATGCGACGCGTCTCCCCAGCGACCCGTGGGAGCTGTTCTTGAGCGAGTTTGGACAACGCGGGATCCTCCGTCTGAGAAAATCCGTCCCCCCTACGCCGAGTTACGTGCCGCAGTCGATTCTGGTCTCTTCGTCTTCTACGTCGTTGAGAGACGCGAGCACGACTGCTCGACAGGAGAATGCGCCGGGCTCGAATCGGGGGGGAAGGCATGTTCGGTTTGCGCAGCAGCCGCAAGCCAGGAGAGATACCGCGTCGAGGCCGATTCCGAGAGGGGTTTCCTGATGCATGTTGGATAGTGCTTCTGGATTATGGATGCACTACGTTTCGTGTTTTGTAGCGATAGTAGCAACCTCACTGCTTTGCATGTGTTCTTATTCCGTTCAGTCGCGTCATATGCTGCAAATATATATAATCTGTCAACCGCCTATCTAATCAAATGCGTAAACAGCTTCTGCAGATAATACGCGGACTGTTTTGGATACCGCGTTTTCTCAGGGGACTCAAAGTCGATGAACGTGCTTCCAAACCGATCAGTATACCCAGCAGCCCATTCTACCCTCGTCAGTACCTCGTCGATCCGAGACAAGGAAGAAACTTACCCCAGTTATCCGTAAAAGTCCACGCAAAGTACGACCGCACATCAACCCCGTCGAACTTGACGGCCCGTGCCAGCTCGCCCACATACCCCTCGAAAAACTGAATCCGGAACGGGTCGTTCAGGACCCCGGTGGTCGGCGGCGGACCATGTTCACCCTTCGCCGTGGTCCCGTTCTCCGTCACATAGATCGGCATGTGGTACCGCGAGTAGATCCAATTGAGCAGCTTACGGAAGCCCCAGGGCGAATACCGTAACCAGTGAGTGTCCGACTCGGCACCACGCGACACCCCGTGGCAGTTCTCATCCGAGACGATGACGTTGCCCTTGTGGTCGTTGATGTCCGCAGGTGTGTCCTTGTGGCGCACAAAGAACGACGTGTACGTGTTCATGCCGTAAAACTCGCTGCTCCCCAGTACAAGCTGCGACTCCTCTGCCGTGAATCGCGGCAGACGATCGCCGAGCTGCGCGCGCATCGACGCTGGGTAATCACCAGTGCGGTACAGCGGGTCGGCGAACCAGGCGATTTCGAACTCGCGCGCGCGCTCCGCCGCCGCCTGGTCCAGCGACGAAGTCTCGTCCCACGGCTCGGACCAGTTGCCGTGCAGGGTGATACCAATGGTGCCTTTTTGATCCGCCTGGAAGGTGGCCTTGTAGAGCCGTGAGACGTGCCCGTGGGCCACGAGCTGTGTGTGACCGACGGTGAAGGGCTCGGTGGACGAGTCCCCCTCGGCGTTGAGATCACGGAACGACGATCGAGCCGGAGCGTGCACGCCGGCGGCATACCCAGCGAGAGCGTAGACACCCGGCTCATTGAAGGTGATCCAATGGTGAACTTTGGGCCCCAGGCGCTCGAAGCAGACCCATGCGTAGCGTACAAAGTCCGGTACGAACTGGGTCTGGTCCAGCATGCCGCCGTAGCGGTCTTCCAAGGCCTGCGGGACGTCCCAGTGGAAGAGAGTTACGAACGGGGTGATGCCGTTGCGGAGTAGCTCGTCGATGAGGTTGGAGTAGTACTGAAGACCTGCTTCGTTGATGGGGTCATCGCGACCTCCCTGAGGAATGATGCGGGACCAAGAGAGCGAGAATCGGTAGGCATTGACGCCGTAAGTCTTCATCAGTGCAACATCGTCCTTGTATAGATCGTAGGAGCGCACTGCGTCGTCGGCATTGCTGCCGTCTTTGACCTTGCCTTGGGTATGGCCGAACGTGTCCCAGATCGACGGGCCTTTTCCGTCCCGATTCCAGGCTCCCTCGACCTGTGCTGCCGCCGTAGCGTACCCATGAAAGAAGTCACTGCGTAGGGCATCTTTCACATCCTGGACAGCCGCTAGATCCATGTTGTTTCCGTATAGATGATAGTCGGGTGATGAATATCTAGTGTGCTGTGGCTGACCGGGAATCTAAATTGAAGGACGGTCTACCTTAAGACTAGCAAGGCCTGCAAGTAGTTCCCCTCATATGGCGTGTTCAGTATCCATGGAGATTACCCCGTCTCCGGATAAATCGCTGCAGCGGTGAGTGCTGATTGCTGGAAATTCAAACGAGGATGGCGCCAAGGTATGAGAACTAAAAACGCCACGCGTATTTAGGGTGACTTGAGCAAATCTGGACATCGCTGAAATGTATGCAAATCTTCAATTCTGTTGTACAGTAGGTAGATCTTGGAAACATCCCTTAGGGGGCGTGTATGTTGTGTATGCCCTCCCCTTGGATCTGTACCTGCGGCCCATCATGAGGGAAGTAGACCACTGCGTTCAACCCCAATAACGAACGAATAAGCACTTCGCCGACGATGAATCCATCTTCCCATCGGAAGTCCAGCTCAAATCCACCTCGCGCCTTTACCCCGCGGATCGACCCAGCTTTCCAGCTGTCCGGGCACGCGGGGAGGAGCCGAATGATACCCTCCTCGTGCGACTGCACCAGCATCTCCACAATGCCTGCCGTAGCCCCGAAATTCCCATCAATCTGGAATGGTGGGTGTGTATCCAGGAGATTGGGCAGAGTAGACTGCGCTAGGAGCTGCTCAACATGTCGGCCGCATTCATCGGCCGCTCGCAACCGCGCATGCAGATTGATCAGCCATGCGCGACTCCACCCAGTATGACCACCACCGTGAGCCTGCCGGCGGGCAAGTGTGGCTGCGCACGCGGCTGCTAAATCTTTGGTGCGGCCCGGAAGGATGGTGTGTCCTGGATACAGGGCCCAGAGGTGCGAGACATGGCGATGCCCGGGCTCGACCTCGGCATAATCGGCGGTCCATTCCTGGAGTTGGCCGAATGAACCAATGCGTGCTGGAGGTAGACGCTCGCTGGCATGATTCACTCGTGACACGAGGTCATCGTTAAGATTGAGAATGTTGACTGATTGAATAAAGGCGTGGAAGACCGCATCCACCAACTGCATGTCAATGGTTGAACCCTCGCAGAGTACTCCCTGGCGGCCTTCCGCATCATAGAACAAATTCTCTGGCGAGAGCGAAGGGCTCGTGACCAGGTACTGACCGGTGGCATCTTCGACCAGAAAATCAAGCAAGAACTCGACACATCCACGAAGGACCGGGAACATACGGCGCAAAAACATCTCATCCTTGCTGAAGAGAAAACGCTCCCAAACATGGAAACAGAGCCAGGCGCCTCCCAGTGGCCAGAGGGTTGCTGGCATCCATTGATCGACGGGCGCCGTGTCGGCCCAGATATCTGTACAGTGGTGTACAGCCCAGCCACGGCAGCCGTACACCTCGTGAGCGGTTTTCTGGCCCGCGGAGGCGATCCGCTCAAGTAGATCGAACAAGGGCATCTCGCATTCGGCGAGATTGCAGACGTTCGCGGGCCAATAGTTCATTTGGAGGTTGATGTTCAACGTGTATTTTGAGCCCCATGCCGGATGGAATGACGGGTTCCAGATGCCCTGTAAGTTAGCCGGGAGGACTTTGTTGCCGTTGCCCTCTCGACTGCTAGCAATCAGGAGGTAGCGGCCGAAGTTGTGGTACAGTGAGACAAGCCCGGGGTCGCGAGAATGCTTGATCCGCTCATCCGTTGGTATATGAGAGGCGTCTGGGCTCATTGCCAGAGTCATGCGGGCGTACAGTTGTTGGTAGTCTTCAATGTGACGGGACCAGATCTCTTCAGTGGACCACCGCAGGGCGTCAGCCACATCCAACGCAGCTCGCCCATCAATATCTTGATATCGATAGGTAGTCTGTGCGGCAACGAGTAGTAGCGTTTCTCGCGCTCGAACCATAAGCTTCCTACCCCCGACCCTAGCAATGGTGGCACCATCTGGGTCATCACAGCGAATTGCAACTTTGCAGCAGGCGCGGTTACTGTTGCGTCCCCCTGGAGTGACATGCATAGTGACACAATTATCGTCAACGGCGACATCATCCAGGTACTCATTTGTCTCGTACTCAAGGTCGCTCATGCGCGTCAACCGAACAACGAACTCCACCGGCTCCGACGCTCGCACGCGGATGGCAATCACGGCATCTGGATGACTCGCCAGCACCTCGCGTTCGAAATGCACGCCGGTGTGCATATACTGTACACGGGTAATGCCTCGCTGTAGATCCAATGACCGCCTGTACTCGGTGACCTCACTCTCGAGGTGGCCAAAATCTAAAAACAGCGTGCCCAGTGGCTCGTAATGCCGCTGGCTGATGGGGTGGGCAAAGAACACTCGCCGAACCAGCTCCTCCGCCTCGGCATGGGCGCCTTTGCGGATGTATTGTCGCAGTTGCTGAAGGTACCGAGATGCACCGACCGGTGTGCGGTCCCCGGGGCCCCCATACCACACCGAATCCTCATTCAGCTGGAGCAACTCGGTAGTGGTGCGTCCATGGACCATAGCACCCAACCGGCCGTTCCCTACAGGAAGAGCCTCATCCCAGGTGGCGGCTGGGGATCGATACCAGAGTTCGCACATGTTCTATCCTAGTAGATCAGTTGCCCCCAACAGGAGTGGTAGGCTGGACGAGATAGGCCTGGATCGAATGCTCCTCTTTAGTGCAGTTTGTTGGTAGAATTTCCCCGAGCACGGTAGGACAATGATCGGGATACGCGGGCCGCGAACCGTATTCCACCGAAACGACTGTGTTTTCGTGACTAGATCTCATGCAACAGTGAGCTAACCAATTCAGCGGACTCACAGAAAGGAGCCAGTGCCAGGGCAGAGAGATGGCGTGGAGCTCACAAGCTCTCTCATGTTCTCGCTTAGCCCTAATCGTGCTCCCTTATTCGTGGACTTTCTCCCGTATCCTCGACCCATTTAAGCGTAAATAAAGACGGGAACCACTGTAAAGATAGACCATTCGCAAGGGAAGGATCCTTCGATCCCCCGCAATTGTCCCCACGAAACTGATAGTCTTCTTTGGTCTCTGTCCAGGCTGGCGAGAGCTCTAGACTCTCGCCTGATGGCCGCCACTGACGCCGGACTGAAACATCCAGTAACGCGGAGTTGCAGTGTGATTGGTGCTTTTAGAGGATACTCTCTGTAAAGACCGCTGAGATGGAGGTGTTTCCACATGATCGGTCAGATTTAGCCTGCGGACTTGCTCCATTCCAGTCCATGAGCTCTGTTTACGGCTCCCCGTGGCGGATCTGGTCACTCACGATCAAAGCCAGCATGACCCTTGCATATACATAGCTCGTAACCCCACACCAGACACTCTGTGTGTTTTCCGTCTCTTCCTGTGTTCAATTTCTTCATCAGGGGTTCTCATAACCTCAGAGAACAGCGACGACATGGCGCGAGACGATCCCCTCAAGACGAAGACAGTCGAGCATGTAGAGGAGCAAGTGCTGGCTAGCCTAACGGAGGAAGATGTGTGGAGGATGTCGAAGGAGGCTCTGGACCTGCGGTCCTGGACAGGATTCCGATTATGCCTCATTCTGTTCGTGCAGGGGTGTAACCAGGCCGGGTACGGTATCGACTGGGCGGTGATAAGTGGTATCAACTCCTACAAATCCTGGCACGCATACTTTGGCTTCGGCAGCAGCGGCGGCACGTACGGCCTCATCGCGGCGCTGATGAATATCGGCATGGTGTGTGGCGCGCCCTTCCTGTCGCTGGCAGACATCATCGGCCGTCGTGGGATCAACTTCGCCGGAAACTTACTTGTCATTGCGGCCAGCATCCTGCAGGGCTGCTCGACTAACCTCAGTATGTTCATGGCTGGACGGTTTCTCATGGGGTTTGGGTCAGCGCTGCTCTCCTCGTCGCAGTATATCGGAGAGATCGCTCCCGTACATTTGCGTGGTCTCATGGTCGGTATCTTCGGGGCCTGCTTCCAGGTTGGTAGTCTCGCCATGACTGGTGCCATGATCGGGCTGTCGCGTATGGATGGAAACTGGAACTGGCGTGTCCCATTGTGGCTTGAAGCCCTATTCCCAGCCATCGTCTGCATCTCAATCTATCTGATAACCCCGGAGAGCCCACGTTACTATGTCAAGCGTGGGAAGCTCGACAAAGCCCGTCAGGTCGTGGCCAAGTACCACACCACGACCGGCGATGTGAGTCAGCCCATCGTTGACGTCGTCATCTCTCAGATCGAGGCGTCCATTGAGAATGACCGCGCGGGATATACCAGCTTCTGGGATTACCGCGTGTTCTTCACGCGCGCTGTGCGCTACCGGTTGCTTGTGCTTTTCCTATACTCCATCTTCCAGCAGTGGAACGGGGGCGGGATCATCACCTACTACGTCCGTCGCCTCTCCTGCCAATAATATGTCAGAAGGAATTCCTCTAACCGGTGTCTACAGATGGTCCCCGCTCTCGAAACAATCGGAATTGAAGACGGCATACAGCAACTAGGCATCCAGCTCGGAACCACGGCAACCTACTTCGTCTTCACTGCATGCGGGGCCCTCATCATCGACCGCTTCCGCCGTCGCCACCTCGTCTTCGCGGGTCTAGGCACCATGATCGTCTTTGAGACCGCGGTAACCATCACCTCGTGGCAGTATTCATTGTCGGCGAGCCGCGCGGCTGCTGCACTGACTATCCTGTGGGTATATCTGTATCAGACGTTCTCAGCCCTGCTAGTGGCCACCATGCACAACCTATACCCGGTGGAGATTCTGTCTCTCGCACTTCGAGCCAAGGGCATGGGTTTGTACGGACTGATCCAGGGTGGCGCGGGAGCCGTCCAAACCTATGGCATCGGTGTGGGCATCGAAAAGCTCGGGTACAAGATCTGGGTGGTGTACATCGTTTACAACTGCATCCAGTTGGTGCTATCGTATTTCATCTTCCCGGAAACGAAGGGACTGTCGTTGGAAGAGATTGATGCCGTGTTTGAGACACCTGGCGTGGCTCCAGTCAAGATGTCGCTGGACATTCAGAAAGCCAAGAAAGAGATGGAAGAAGCCAATCGGGGTTTCCTTGGGTAGGAGCCCGCTTTATTTCTTGTGTAATAATCAACGCAGATAGCATCTGTTCCAGTTGAGACGATATCACTGTACCCTCCTCTGCATGACGTGCACATGCTTCTTGTTGTACAGATAGACGTATGACCAGGATCCTGTAGGGTTAAGTCTTCTTTGTTTGGTTGGATTCTCCAGGATGGTGTCAATGGAACCTACCCATATGAAGGGTCTGATTCGAAGGGATTGTCGGATCTTACATTTTGTCTAAATCGCCCGTAACATATTAGCATGAGCATTGTTTCGGAGCACAGGCCCATGGATGCAGGCCTGGGAAAGTCCATATCTACACCGCCAGGCAAGTCTGCTGGACACCCTCCACTCGCCCCGTGAACTCCATTGTCAACCTGACCAGAACAGAGTCCGTGGTATCGGTATACTGACTGGCCATGCCGCAGACGCAAGGGAGGCCGTTGGCCAGTTTGGTGCACATGATCATAATAGGAGGGGTCTGCGTCCCCGAGGGAAGAGCTCCGTGCCTCTGCTGACGACAAAATCAAGCAGGTTGGAAGCCAGGTTCTGGAAGCATCTCGGCGGTTGGCCGATAGATCGGCATCTGTTGGGTCCGTAGATTACCGAAAGTCAAACAAGCAAGATCCAAGAAGCCAGACACTTCATATAGCCGTAGTCTATTGATAGAAGGGCTCTCCGGCTGATGTGATACCGGGCCGTAGACCAACCTTCCAGTCTTGTTTGGGGTGTAACACAACAACGCACTTCAGCGGCTACCTACAGTTGAGTCGGAAGGCAACCACGAATAGGGGATTATCAGGGGATATTCATAGCCAGAGGCAAAAACGAACCCTGTCAACTAGAGGGTTCGCCATGGACAAAAGCCTCTAATCATTGTCGTTTGGGAGGGATAAGTGCAAACCACGGTGACGAAATGAACCGTTCCTTGAGGTAAACATCAAAGCTCCCAAAGGACCGGTTGGTTCAAAATCTGTAGAAGTGGACCAGAGGAGGCAGACCGCATTCAAGAGAGCATCTGACTACGCAGGAATATTTTTGCCTCGGTTGTTGGTTTGCATGCTTTCCAACAGACACTCTGCTCATGTGTAACAGACAGACCGCATGGCAAATGATACTGTTTGCAGCTCATTGTTTCAGCCTCTGGGTGTATATAGTCCCATGCATGTTTGCACTGTGAGATGAAGGGGACTGAGCATCATCAGGACAATGAGAATCTCAATTCAACCCGAAGCGCTTTTCCGGTTTGCTGGTCAGCCACTTCCACACCGACTCGGGGAGTCTTCGCCGAATTAACGAAGATTGACGCAAGTTGCGCAGTGGTATCATGACGGTGTTACCATTCATTCCAATGCGGAACAAACGAGTCGGGGGTTGGTCTTGGGCGAGAATCACAAGACAATTGGCACAAACGGGGCGAGCACAGGAATCAGACCAACTCATACGGTGAAGAAAACGACAGACGGTCATCCTGCGCTGGTTTTTCTTTGTTTCGGAAATCGCCATGTCATTGGCAAGAAGTGCATCCGGTGGCATTCCCGGTATCACCTGAATGGGCCACTGAAGGTTTGGGAAGATGTCGCCAGATTATCTTCAGGGATGGAGCGATCCTGCTGGTCCGATTGAAGTATATAAGTTCATATCTCCAGAGCTGGCTTCGGTCTCTATCAACCACATCCTTCTTCTCTTACCTTGTCAGGTTGTCAGGTAGAAGCTACGCACCATCGTCTGAACTGCGTGACTTCCACGTTTCGTCTCAATCCCTTTGTTGAACAAGCTCCCACAATCTTTCTGAGTGTCGTCCCCTTGCCATATTCACGACTTCGTCAGCACCTAAGGACGTTCCATATGGCGCCGAACACATACAACCAGGGAAACTTTCCTGAAGCCAGGGGCCTCAAGTACGACGAATCTGATATGGCGCTCTTCCATGCCAAGCTGTCTTATCACGCAACCATCGAGGAACGCATGGCGTCCAAAGACAGCAACCTCTCATCCATTGCAGAGGCGCAAGCTCGCATTATCAAACGATGGGAGCTGCTCAAACAGGTCGAGAAGGAGCTGGCGGAGAAAGGCAAAAGCTTGTCGCCCGCAGAGAAAAAGCATCTGGCCCAATATGAATGGCGGTACAAGACGCTGGAAGATGCGGCAACGAAGAAGCACTGGAAGCGAGGGGACGACGGACAACCCTCATCTTGAGTGTCATTCAGGGCGCATGGAAGGACTGGGGACAGGGAAAAGCATCATCGGCGTTAATTTAGACCTGGGCACAAAAAATCCGCTTTGGCCTTTCTTTCTCTTCGTATCATTTCCTGTAAATTCCATTAGACCATCGCCTCCGGCGTATTGAGAGTAGGCTGATCCATGTCCCATCACAAGGACCCCTCGTGGGAAGAGGAGATCAAGCAACGTCATGTCGCCTTCGATTAACCACCCCTCGATGTCACATATGTAACATCATCTGGTGAGAAAGGTTGCAACAGTAACGCGATGCACCCAATGGCTACACGAGAGGGGTGAGTCCGAACGGAGGGCCGAGGGAGAATGACGTTTTCGAACTCTCAGAATTGGAATGTGTTTGCGCGATATGCGATGGTCTTCAGGTTGAATGTGCACGGTTTCTTCCTTCTCTCCCCTGCCTCTCTATCCATTCCATCATTCTCTGTCTTTCTTTTGTTCCCTCAACCGCTTCACGGGGTTGGACAAGTCGGTACGGGTTGGCATCAACAAGGATGTGGAAAGGAAAGAACCGAGCCCGGTGCGACACATGGGTCACCATTGATCCTCCGGCATGCCAAACTCGGACCGGGAGCAGGAAAGTTCACCATGAGGATCAATCGGAGCACCAAAGTTCGGAGAACTCCGAACGCGAGGATTTTTGAGCATTGTAGAGCATTTGTCCCCGGGGTATGATACTGAACAACAGACAGAAGAGCGCGGGAGACACGATGACCGGCGAAAATAGGTGAGGAACTGAGAGGCAATAGTCGGTTTGTTAAAGAAGAGAGAGGAGTTGGTGATGGGATCAAGCAAGAAGAGAAGGCGGAGAAGGAATCATGGCGGGCAGTTGGGTCTTGTCATCCATCCCGAATAGCCTCAAGAGTATAGAAACCCTACGTGACAATGAAACCGACGCAACGCCCAAAAGATTGAGCAATTGATACTATACTCTCGTCGAAATCTCACTCCGTCTATTATTCTTTAAGAGCCTCAAATGTACAGGGTGGCCCTCAGATGAAGGGCTAATAAAAAGCAGTTGAATACAGCAGAAACGCCAGGGGGATCGCCTGCACCGAAAGTAAGATCTGAATGCATATTGACCAAGAGTCAAGAAGCCTAAGTAATGGACAAGAAGGTGAAGAAGGAGAAGGAAAAGGAAAAACACGAAGTCTTGTGTTCCAACACTGGGCCGTCGATGATACTAAATCAATCCATATCAACCGGCATGTGAGAAAAAGAAAGGTGAGGAAACCAAGGGAAAGAAAAGCACAGGAACATTTTGTTTCCTCTTCCAAGCATCCAGGAAGTAGGAAAAGTCAACCCGGTTGCTCAAATCGTCATTCATACTTCGTCATCATCAAGTGTAGAGAGGATGGTCAGCAACAGACTCGCTTGACGCATAAACCGGTCTATTGTGTGTTGGAGTCTTCTTTTTGCTCTGGCTTCTTCTCATCGGGCGTGAGCGCGATGACCTGATTGTCCGAGCCAGATGATGAACTATTCGGCGTGCTACTTTCATTGCTGATACTCCCGCGGTCCCGGATAGCCAATCGAGTCTTGGTGTAGGTAGGCACGGGTGCAAGATATTGGTCTAGCATATCGCTAAGCACAGTGGACCGAACCGGCTTAGGAAGGTAGTTGTTCATGCCGGCATCCAAGCACTTCTCCCGGTCACCCTCGATGGCGCTGGCAGTCATGGCAATGACAAGAACTTCGTTGACGTTGGGATCAGGGTCCCGACGAATTTCCCGTGTTGCGTTGTACCCGTCAAGAGTAGGCATCTGCACATCCATGAGGACGACGTGGAAAGGGTTCCCTTCGCGGGATCGTGTCCGTAGTGCTTCGACGGCCTGACGCCCGTCACTGTACGCCTCACATTGCAGGTTCAGTCCGGTCACAAACTTGACGGCAATCTTCTGGTTGATCGGGTTATCCTCGGCGATGCACACCCGAATCTGATCGCGCGGGATCATTGTCAAATCGCGGGCCGTGGGAACCGGGGTAGTCTTGTTTTTATCTTTGTCTCCTTTCTTCGCCCAAGGTGCCTTGGCCGCCGGGTCTTTGACTTTGTTGAAAGACAGATGGAAAGTCACGGTGGTTCCCTTGCCGGGAGTCGAATCTAGCCAAATGGCGCCCCCAAGGACGTCTTCGATAATCGCCTTACAAATGCTCAGTCCGAGACCACTGCCTCCATATGATCTGGCAGTCGAGCTATCAGCCTGAGAGAATGGTCGGAAGAGCCGCGATTTCTGCTCTTCGGGGATCCCAATTCCCGTATCAGTGACCGCACACTCCAAGCGCACGCGGCCCTTGCCTTCCCGCGTAACTCTTGCTGCGACAGTCACCGATCCCTTCGGCGTGAATTTGTAACTGTTGCTCAGGAGGTTCATGAAGATCTGATGCAAGCGAACGGGATCTCCAAATACCACAAGATCCGGTGGAACTTTGTCCAGATCTTCAATCGTCTCCAGTCCGCGGTCTCGGTGCGTGTAGCGAAGCGCCCGAACAACTTCTGAAATGGTCTCCTTGATATTCAGAGGCACCGTCGAAATCTTCATCTTGCCGGCCTCCAGCTTCGAGAAGTCCAGGATATCGTTGATGAGAGTGAGCAATGTGTCGGCACAGACACGTATTGACTCGACGTATTCATCTTGCTCCCTGTTCAGTTTGGTGCCCTTGAGGAGCTCCGACAAGCCAATCACTCCATTCATCGGAGTTCGCAGATCATGAGAGATATTGGCCAAGAAGATAGACTTCGCCTTGGCGGCGTCTTCCTTCAATTTGACGTTGTGTTTAGCCTCCGCCTCTGCCACCTTGGCCTTCTGTTCTGCTTCACGGGCCTGCGCAAGAGCACGCTTCTGCGCCTCGACCATGGAAGCATTGGTCGCACTGACTTTGCGAACTTCGCGGAAGAGGAGTGCGTTGGACAGCGAGATACCGATCTGGTTGCAGAGCAAATGGAGCACAACAAGATTTCGCTGGGTAAATGAATTGGGCTTTCCTTCGATATGAATGACACCAAGAAGATGTTCTCCTTGCATGATAGGCAACGCAATCACCGATCGCCCGAGCGGGTATCTGTTCTGATAGGCTTCATTGACATTGGAAAAGCGCTCATCTTCGAGAACATTGTGGACAAGGACTTCTTCCCTGGTGCGCATGACATAGTGCGAGATCTGCTGTGCCATTTTGTCGCCAATTTCGGAGAAGGGGAGACCATCGACAAAAGATCGTTGTCCCTTTTCCAAGTCACCAGCAGCAGCAACAGTGAAGTTATTGTCGAAATTGGTGGCGATGACAGCAAAATCGGATCCGTTACAAGATTCCAAAACAATCTCGATCATCTTCGCCAGCAGCTTGTCAATCTGAAGCTCAGACGACATGACTTGGCTGGACTCGAGTATGCTAGACAAATCGATGATATCTGCTCGAATATTAGAACACTTCTTTTTCGAGTCGAAATACCTCATGACCATGGTACTTACCCAGTCCGACGCCAGAGATGTCCAGCGAGCGCTCGCCGGTCGCCACACCATTCTGCTCGATCCAACGTTGCTTTCTATCTTCTTCCTCCATGTCCTGAGCCACGCCCATATGCTCTGGTTCAGTGCTGCGATTAATACCCAGAAGTGAATCAACGGTCTGGCATCCTGCATCCACAGTCCGCGAGGTGGTGGCGGTTTTCAATAGCCACTCATGTTTTTCGGTCAGCTGTTGGGACTTGCCTACAGCGCTTATGGCGGCCCACGCTGCAATTGCGTCCTGCATGACGGAACGAGCCGCTCTCTTTGCGCCACGTCGGATTAGGAATTCACCTAAGATAGGAGTCAATCACTGACAACTTATGGGAAGCTAATGAAAGGAAGAAAAAGCAATGAAAAGTTTAATGTGCACTCACCATGCAGTTCCAAGGCAAGCGCCTCCTCCAGAGGCCAACCGTGAATTTGACAATGATCGATCGCAGCCTTGGGAAAGTAATGTTAACCTCTGTTCATCAAGCAAGCCACAGCTCGGATTCTAACTTACCTCAAAAGCTTGAATGGCGGACGTATGGTCGTTCCGAACCTCAGAAACCAAGGCTTCTAGGATCAATGACCACATGCCATAGTTTGCGTCGCAGGCACTGCGGGCGAAATCAACCTCGGACTTGTATTTCAAGACCGTTTTAAGGTTCCCATCAAGGTATCCACGGGCAGGATAGTCATTATGGAGTGTCAAGAGAGATAAAGCCAGGTAGAAGTAGACCACATAGCCAACACGAGCTGACCACAATCTTGGTATCGTCTCCATCATTTCGATACCCAGTTGCACTGCCTTCTCATGGTGACCGTAAACAAACAGCGGGATCATGGCCAAGCCATAGTATATGTCCCGAGGGCGGTCGGCGTTACTTGCATTGTGCTCCAAGAAAGCGATATACTCTTGCGTGTTATGATGCTCATCACTAAGAGCCGTTTCAGCATCCCCAACCGAGGTTTTCCCTTGCAGGGCCCGCGCAACTTGTCTGCGAGATTTCGTTAGCTTCTATGTCTTTAACATTGCTGCCGAAGAGCCCATGGCAGGGCATAGTCATGAGGAGGAACAACACGTACCTAACTGACAAAAGAGTGGCGCCTCCACGGGTATCATTTGTCCATTCGGGAATGTCCTCTGGACTCTCGTTGCAAAACGCTTCCAGTTGGGCCATGTCATGTCCCAAAAAGAGCCTTGTCATCGCCATCGACGAGAGACTGACCAGAGTGATGTAAGGGTCTCCCATAGAAAAAGAAGCTTCCACTGAAGCTTCAAGAGCTGGGAGCGTTGACGTCAATGGGACCCGCAAGTGGCTAACATAGAGGTTGTGGACAATAGAACCTCGACTCTGAGTCCACGGCTCTGGACAGCGCTCAAGCAAATTAAGAGCGTGGTCGCTAAGTTTGACCGCAAGCTCCAAGTCCCGGAAGCGACTAAAAGAGATCATGGCAAGGTGAGAACAGCCAATTGAAATCTGGACAAAACCACCTTTGAAGAGATGGAGGTTGATCATCTCAATAGCCATGCGATAGAAAGTCAACGCATCGTCCCAATACGTAACTGCCATTGCCTCAGCCATGACCGCTCCAATCGTGATCATGTTGATATCCTTGCTGACGGGCCGACGAACGATGGCTTCCAGGTCAGCCTTCTCGAGATAGTCCCGAAGGTTGCGGTAGGCGGCATCACACTCGTCGTAGGTCGCGAATTCACGCAAATGAACACCCAGTTCTTCCAAGCATGTCAGAAGAGAGTCCATCGACCGCAAATGATTGCCCATCTGAGCATAGATCTTGGCTTTCACAATCCAAGCCCTCGACTTGCACACAGCGCTCTTCCCGTGTTCAAAGACTCGATCAAGTAATTCCAAGGCTTCCGTGTTATGACCTTGAGACCATGCCATCTCGGCTGCTGCAATATGTAGCCGTAATGTTTCGTCATAGTACACATCGGCGTTGTTGTCATCCCAAGGATCATCTTGGAGGAGAGCAATGCAGTGGCGGAAGTACCAGAGAGCGGTTGGTCGGGCCCCCGATTGAGCCGCAGTCTGTGCGGTATCCCAGAGGATCTTCCTATAGTCGAGTCGCTGAGACACGCGGTTCTTGATGATTCGAGATGCCAGAGCCACATGGCGAGCCATCGCATAGCGACTACGGCTATCATGGTAATACTTCATGATAGCTTGCGATATGATAAAATGCATCTTTTCAATGTTGCGGCCCTCGCTCAGCGACGCAGCAGCCTGGGCAATTCGATCGTTTGCGAATCTAAGTGTTCACTGTCAATAGCGTGCAAGAATGACTTCCAAACAAGATGAACACATACCTGAATTCATCGTCGGTCTTATCAGGGATTATGAAGTTGACTTGGACAAGATACTGCAGTCCAACAATTACATCGGCCTCCGACTGTCGCACGAGAATCGCATTCTGTGGACAGGTCAGGTCCACGGCCTCGTCGTCATCGCTGGAATATAAGAACTCGCTGGTGAGCAGTTTTTCCACTAGCGAGAACGAAAATGGGCTTCCTAGCAGAGCGCCCCAGACCAATATGGAGCGAGCAGCAGGTGGAGTCTCTTGCAAACGCCTGGCGATAAACCCAAGCCCAAGGCCTTCTCCGTACCTAGGAGCCACAAACTCCGTGAAGATCCGGTCCAGGTCAAACTCCCACACCGAATTCTTCCATGAATACCAGATACAGTTTTTGCTGTAGCACGTTTCTAGCATCATGCGCACGTAGAATGGGTTCCCCACACTCTTCTCCTGGACGACAGCAGCTAAGGGCGTCAACACGGGGTTAGGGTCCTGGTGCATTGTAGCTGCGACTATTTGCATGATCTCTTCCTCTCCAAGCGGCTTGAGAACGACACTGGTCACGGCCGGATTGTCCTCATCGAACAGTGATTTGATGGCCTCAGATTGCAATTCAGACTTGCGGCTGGTTAGCATTAGCACGCATGGAATTTTTGCTTTCATGATATGCATGACCAAATCAAGAGTTTCGTCATCTGCATAGTGTAAGTCGTCCAGACACACGCAAATCAGCTTGAACTGAGACAACGTCTTGAGGATCTCAAGGAATGTCTCCGTCAAACGCATGTTCTTGAGTGCGGCATTTGATAAGAAGAAGTCCACAGAACTCTGACCATGATCAAGGCGAGGAATTGCAATGCGCTTGGACGGCTCCCCTTTGGTAGAGACGTCCTTGAATATATGCTGAGCAGCAGAGAGTCTCGGCGAAACTTGCTTGTCATCACCTCCTGAGGACATCAATTGTTCAGGTAGTTCAAGCACTCGGTGTAACGTAGGCCACATTGGCCGCAAGGCCATGCGGACGTTATTATGATAATCCGTCGTGACATCACGCTCGGAAAATATCTGACGGAGAAGGCTTGCCAGGATCTTTGCAAACGGTTCGAAAGGGACTCTCCTGGCCCGATCCAGCCGGGCTATTGCGATATAACCCAGCTTACGGATTGCTGGCTGGACGCGGTTCAAAAGATCCGTTTTCCCCAGCCCAGCGGCACCGCTGATTGTGATCACCTCGCACTTCCCCGCTCGGCGAAGCTTGTGTGTGGGTTTGTGTCTGCTCATTGGTCCCAGAGGATCGCTATGCGTACTGGTATTGGCCGACATGTGGCTATCTCGGTCCACGTTCTCCCAGGAGGATCGCGAATCCACAGGGCTCTTTGCTTGTTTGGGTCCATGTCCTGGCCTCTGCGTCGACAGAGAGGATTCTGTGCTGTGAAGAGATTCGTGGGTCGAAACACGACCAAGATTGTGATGACCGCTGTTGAGAGGGTTGGACTTAGACGCAAGGTTGAACGAGCCGGATTCACTTGAGGCAGACGCAACCTCAAAGCTGTCCACGCGGCTGTCTGATACCGAGGAATTCGAGGCAAGTCCGCTAGAGGGCTGCGCCGTGGCTTTCGCATATGCACTCTGCTGGCGTTTGTACACCTTATCGACCACACTGATAATTTTATCATACTCCTCTCGCCGACCAAACATGCGGGACGGAAGCGTAAAGAATGAAGACACATCACGCTGGGCAATTTGGAAGTCCTTCAACGCTTCGCTATCGCCGTCTCCCAGCAGTTTGGAGATCTGCGCCAAGTCTCTCTTCACAGAAGAGATGGTATGGTAGCGCTCGTTAACTGCCTTCTGTGTCATCTTCTGGATGACAGCTGAGACTGCATCAGGGACATCCATCCTCTTTGCCGAAACTGGGGGCAACTTCTTTCCTAGCACGTTCTGCACGACTTCGACGGGATCGCTTCCCGTGAAGGCAGGCTTCCCAACCAGCATTGTCCAAAACAGAACACCCAGCGCATATATATCGGTCCGGCTGTCTGGTTCGGTGGGCATCCGCCCTGTCTGTTCCGGCGCGATGAACTGCAATTTATTCTTAACACCCAACTCCTTCAACAGGGTTGACCACCCCTCACTGAGTATGTTATCAAAAGACCTCGCCCCATTCCCTGTGTGAGTGAGTTTAACAGATCCAGTCTCCGGATTGAAATGAAAGGCGTCCCCCCGAATCTCGCCGTGAACCGTTTTCAATCCATAGTGGAGGAGTTCGAGACAATCACAGGCGCCAATAGCGAAATCGAGGAACATCGAGAGGGAAACCTGCTCCCCTGGTGTAGAATCATTGCTGTCGCTTTTGCTCCCCATCGCAAACCAGGCCGGCCCAAACGCGACAAATTCCCGGAGCATGTTCGGGCCAGGGGATTCGAAAATGGCCACCAGGAGGGGACCGGCGTCGCCAGCATCTCGTGGAAGTCGTATGAGGTCAATCGGCCGTACTGTATGGTTGCAATCGGGATCCGATGTCTGCACAATAGACCTCAACATATGGAATTCGCGCTCCAAGCGCACCACGTGGGACGAAACTCTGGCGATGACGGGGATCCATATCGGCTCATGATCAGCGCGTGAGAGCGAAATTTCGCTGCTCGACTCACTCAAGCTACTCCTCCAGTGATGACGAAATGGCGGACGGGATTCGGTTCGCGGAGACTGTCGTGCTAAACTGGACGGCCCCGAGGAAGTTGCTGCAGGGGTCGACGCATCGGATTCCAAGGAATGGCGAAGACCGAACACATGCCAGTGATTGTAAGTCGAATGAAAGGGCTCGATAGACTGATCCCAGGTATAACCGGGCAGTTGCGCCAGTCTTTCGAAAAGTCGCGCGGGTGGGAGCGGAAGGTCCTCACCGAGGATATTACTATCCTCCATCTCAGCCAAGACTGTCAAATTATTTCGAGATGAATGTTCCCCCCCTTCACTTCAGATCCATAGGTCGAATAGTTCCGTTTAGAGGCGCAGCGCGAGTGGGAGGGACGTTGCGACAAAAAGGGGGGAAGATAAGTAGCTATCGTGCTACTATCATAGGGACGAAAACGGTCAACGGCTTAGGACAGCGGGGGGGTGGAAGAAAACCGAGACCTTGAGGAATCAAGTCAAAACCGTAGAGATAGCGCAGTGTCGACGGTGGGAGGATATAGAGCAGGTATGGAGCACGGTTTGAGGCGAGAACAAACACGATACAGCAGCTGTCTTCCCCATCGATCAACGTGAGGTTGGTAACTGTGGAGGCACCTGATCCGAGACTTTGGCTTGGTTGGGTTTGGGAGGGGAGAAAGAGGAGGTTGCCGGCCTCAGGCACCAAGAAACCCTTTCCATCGAGATCAAAATCAGGTAGGCGGTATAAGGCTGAGTCACCTAGCCCCCGTTGGGCATCACGAGGCAAACCGGGGATCCTTCCATCTGGCATCCACGTAACCATCTTCCGCCCTAAATTACCTAACTCACGAACTATCGACCTTTCGCAGTAGTTTCTTCTATCCTGAGCCGTTGTCAATACTGCAGATTACCATCAACATCCTTCACGGAAGGTTTAACTACCTACATTCTGCCTACCCCTTTCTTCGTCTCATTATCGAGATGTAGGCTTTTCTTGAGTTGTATAACTTTGGAATTGTAAATTGAACCAAATTGGAAGAGGGACAAGGAGTCACCTCGTCAGTCCGTCCAGATGGTTCATTTATCCAACAACTAAACTTGCCCGCTCACTTACCTCATGTTGGACTGAATTAAAGGTACATGTACGATGTAAGACAGCCTCCGCTTCGCGACTCCAGGCACAGTGATCGTATGGAGCAGTACTAGTTACTATATATAATTAGATCCATTGACATGCACGTTACTAGTAGTTACCCGGAACACCCGCCTTTGGCTTCTATTTATGTCGAGTGGGTTGATGATGGAGACCGTTACGTACCATCATTGCTAGACTGTTGACCGGGGCAATAGTTAATCCCAATCTATTGAGCAGATAGTAACTGTCCAACACTTGACACAAATTCCTTGAGAGTTACTGGACTAGCTCCTGGGGGTTTGCCAAGGGAGATGCACCTCATCAACACAAGTCGTACAAAATATATATATTCACGACGGTGACTCCCATTACCTTTATTCGAAGTAGCGGTTTACGCCAGATAAATGTTTATATATAGGAATGATCACCTTAAAGTCTAACTTCTTAAGGCTAACTACATATGGTTTCTTATGCAGCAGATGAGATTACCCAAATACCTATCATACCTACATAGGGAGGTGCCTACCTAGGTACCTACCTAGTAGTATATGGCAGCGCACGAACGAGTAACACACCCTTACCCAGCCCAGACAATGCCGCGGTGCCGAAACGTCGGGATGATCGACAGCCCGAAATTCATTCAATAATTTCCCGATGAATGGCCGTAATAGGAAGGATGTCCTAGTTCCATCCACTCTCAGGTGCCAATAGTGCAGGAACGCTGGGGACCGAGGGGCGGTTACTCGAAGACCTAGCCCCGGATCGGAGAATAATAGATCGCATTACAATCCTGTCCGAGAAACCTAAGAAAAGAGAGAAGAGTGATGAGCGGGTAGCCTGAAAATAGACGTAACGTACGTAATCAGGGGCAAGTTGGAAGCCGGAGCACGGTCAGTGGAGATCATAACATTGATCACGTCCTAACAGTCAGTATAGTCAGTATACCGAGATGATCACTACTTGTAAATATATACAAAGGCCATTTCTTACACGCAAGGTTAGACTGGAATATGAGGCGGCATGGCCGTTGTACCTCACTAGTCAAGCCTAAGAGCGAGCTAACGTAAGCGGCTGGCTGGAGTCGAAGCGAATGACGACATGAAGACCCCATGACTTTGTCCACTGAACATAGTGTGGACTAGTACAGGTAACTATTCGCAGCAAAAGCAGTTAGCCATCTGCAAGAGGTGCTGTACCCCGTACCGACTTGGCCTGAGTAGGTAGGGAGTGACAGCCACCATCTAAATAACCTACAATCCAGAGATTTGACTATAATTATGAATTTGAATGTTTCCCCTGGTATGAGAGGCGATGAATGGAAGGGTCAGAATTCTCAAAATAAGGCAGATGACGATAGTGGCAACGGAAGTCTCCTGACCCAAATGCTGATGTTGTCAGGTTGCTGAGGTGTACCTTCGACCAATTAAGTCTGGATCGGACAAGACCACGCATACACTAAAAAAGGGTTCAACCAACAGTCCCAGTGGTGGTGCTTGACAGGCACGGTATCGGGCTGGTACCAGGTTCTTTGCAGGTGCAGTTTCCAACCTCACGAATATTACCCGAACCTCTGGAGTCGGAGAGCGCCATAATAACGCTTGACATGGTTCCCGCCCGGGGAAAGAAACTTCTGGATTTGTTCCCCCCCAACTTAATCGCCTATAGTAATCACTCTGAAACTCTATAACGGGGCTGATAGGCAGACGATTTCAGCAAGGTTGTTTGCCCTGCCTGTCCGAACCCTTGCAAAAAATGGAACGCCTAAGATTTTCAGATGGAAATTCCGTCGATATATCTTGCAGATAGATGTAATATTGCATGACGCCTCCCCGGCCCAGTCATCTTCATCCCTATTTGATGCATCTTATCCCAAGTACATAGCATAACTCTCCTTCTCTTACCTGTCTTTCGGCCGCGAGAGAGGATTATTGCTAGTGATGAACCGAATCTACCATTATCAGGCGATTTCGGTGGCCAATTCCCAGTCTGTTATTAACACGCAAGATTCAGGAGAGCCATGAAAGGTGCGTGGAAATCGCCTTTCGCCGGGGTGGTAGTTTAATTCCAGTCACCCATTCCTCCAAAATGCCAAGAAGCTCCATCATAGCACGGTGCGCAAGTGGTGAAAGAGGGGCGCTTTTCGGGGTGAAAGCCCAAGGAATGTGCTTGACGACAGCTCCACCGGGACACTAGGGTACTAACTACTGGGACCTGAGTTTCCTTCTTCGTACCTGGATATACATATTAGGAGGGACAGAAACCGACTATGCGTTTCGGAAGACTGTTGATTAGAACGACCATGCCACTGATTCATCATTGCCACTATCATTTGCTCTATTTGCATCATAGGCGTAATCTGCGCCAGAGCAGATGGCTGCGGAGGTCAACCTGGGTATCATACACGATCCCTCGATACAACCTTGAATAGATGGAGTCCGTCCACGGAGAGAGGTATGGTCTTTACCATACAAAGTACCTAGGTAGGTACCCTTACTTGGTTGTCGACTAGATACCTACGGAATACTATCTGATGGTGTTGTACGACGGCGCAAGAATAACTCCCAAACCACCTCACCGACCCTTGGAAAAGAATGCCGCTATTTTATTTGTCTTTTTCTTACTCAGACACTCTGCGTTTCTTGATCATATTGTTCTTTGGAACAATAAACATGATCAATCCTATTCGTCCTAATGTAGATGATCCCCTGTCAAAACCCCCACCCGTTTTATTTCCCTTCCGATGAAATCATGTACAGTGGGTAAGGTAAAATTAATCAGAAAGAATAGTTAAAAGAAAAGAGGAAAAAGAAATATAATCAGATTGTTCGGCGGGAGAGTGAGGAGGGGCGTTTCTCATCTGTCTCCATCATTGGTACCAGTGGAATCCTTCCTCCCCAGCCAGTCCACTCACTATTTGCTCATCCGTCATCGTCCCTCGCTCCCTCATTCTCCCACCACCACCACTACGGAGTACCACCACCACCACCAACCATATTCTTTTCATCTGCACTTCCACCGCCGCATCGTTCTTCTGTGGCCAGCGGACTATTCTACTTCCATTCCGACTCCCCCAATTCTGATCATCCTTTCCTTCTCCCTCAACCGCCTTCACACACATCTTGCTTGCGCTTGGTGTTGTATCCTTTCCCCCCCTTCGCGCTTCTTTCTCTATTTTCTTTCGCCCTAGTCTTCCCCTTCGACACGTATTCTCGGTGGTCCTCTTGCACCCGGTGGTTGTGGTTGAAAAACCCCCCTCCTGTCGGAGTCTCCCAAGAACCTTTTTCAGTTACCGCGGGTTCACCCAAAAATTCCCCCCAGGGCTTGACTACGTCATAGTTGGACCCCCCCGGAGACGGACCATTTTCCACACCCTTTCAACACAAATCGTCGATCTGCTCCGGCGCAGTGGGAATAATAATAATCATAATAATAAAAAAGAAAGTGAGAGACGAGGAGAAAAGGTCAGATCAGTCCAATCTTCCCTTTTTTTTTATTACGTGCTTCTTTCCTTTCCAACTACCCTACGACACCAAACCGAGCCAAACCCACCCAACCTATCTGTACCCTACCCTATCATACCATACGATACATACATACCTTCACAACCTTCCTCACCATCTCCTGCCCCGATATACACCGCTTTTAGTCACCCTTCTTTCATCTGCCTTTTTTTGGTCTTTTTCTCCTTCACGCACTTTGTCCCTCTCCCCTTCATCCTCCTTTTTGACCCTTCCACCACCCTGAATACTTTTCTTCTTTACTCCCCGAGGAGGTATATACCCTGACGTCGGTGATTTTGAGGTTATCTCATTTTTTCTTAGTTTTCGTTTTTCCCCCATTACGCCTCTTTACTATTTTCTTTCTTTCTTTTTTTTAACACCCGTGCGCGTGGCCTTGCGATCGATTCCCCTCGTTCTTTTCCCTCTTTCGTCACTCATATTATCTTGCACTTTCAGTATAAAGCTGGCCTTACCTTTCTTTTCTCGCATTCCCTCCTTTCCCCCAATTCTCGCTTCGCCCAAAGTGTCCTGTTGCATTTCAACCTCCTTGCCTCATCCATCTGATCGCGGACCGGTTTGTCCGAGAAATGAGTGCCTTATTTGGCTCCTGTGGAGTTGGATTCGCCCAGGAGAATTGATTGTTTGACCGGCGGTGGAGGGAGTAAAGGATGGGGGACGTTCACAGCATGAGGACGCCTCCTCTTCCATCGCCGGCCGAGGCCCCTTCGCCCGTCGCCGCTCCCCAGTCTCACCACCATGGCTCCTCCCAATCAATCCCCGGTTTAATTACCTCTCAAAACGACGGCTATACTGTGGATGGAAATGCGACACCGGACAACACGATCTGGATGGCTAACTCTCTCTCCCCCATGTTGCATGAACAGACCGCCAATCCACAGCGCATACCATCACCCACGAAGCAGGATACGGATCCTGGCAAGAGATCCCCCGAGGATCAGGGGCGGAGTTCCCAGACGTTGAAGGAATTACGGAGGCAGATGGAGGAGCTGCTTGTATACCAACAGATGCAGCAACAGTCTCACGTCCAGGACTCGTCCCACCTCTCATCATCAAACGCAGATCCGATTTCTTCCAGCCCTCCCGAACCAACGAGGAAGCGGCGCATCTCCAATGTGTCATCTCCGAAAGCCGCGCCCACATCCGCAGGAGCAATGCCTTCTACTTCATGTTCCGACTCGACTGGCTCGGGTGGCACGATAAGAGCACTGGATTCGCCTACCGAGAACGTTCCCGGGCAGACACCATCCTATCCGTTCCCCAAGATGCAGCCTCAACCTTCCGCCAAACCTCCGCATCACTCCGGTTTCAATCCAGGTGCCTTCAAGCTAACTCTCCCGACGGAGAAATTGAAAATTCATATGGCATCATCGCAGTATCCTGAGGAACGACATCCGACTCCCGTGAAGACTCCCACATCGAGCAGCATCTTCCTTCCCCCCCAACACAAGCCCGTGGCTGAAGATCCCACCTATCCTAGTCCCAACCTGTATGACCTGACGCTACAACTGAATGCGGACCCCGGTCTGGATGCGTGGTGGGCCAATGTCGTCCACATTCTACAAGAGCATTTTGGTGCAGAGAGAGCGTCGCTAGCGGTACCCGGCGACGCGACGGATCTAGAGAATGTCCCATGGGGCCAGAAGGCAGTCTTCGATCAGAATGCACCAGAGTCGCCGGATCTGCAGCAACGCCATTTCCAACGGGGGACGGTCGCAACCCGGGGAGGTTCTCCGAAAGCCAGCAACGATGCGTCGAAGAAGAGTGAACAAGCAAATGGATCGGGAGTAGCAGCGAAACGGCCGTCGCTTTTGTCACGGCATTCGTTCGCAGGCTTCGGGAAAGAGAGAAAGGAGACTACCTGGAGCGGTTCGGATGCCTCTCAGAAAACAAAGCCTGAGACAGAACGAAACGAAGCCTCCACTAGCGAAGCGGACCATGCCACGCCGTATACACAGTCATTCGACCCCATGAATCCGGACTACCGCCATAGGCAGCTTGTTTTCCCCGCAACCAGACCGCTGGAAGTGGAAGCGGACCCGTTAATAAAGAGGACGGGCGTCGTGAAGCTTTTTGGACGTACGGGTCCCGTTGTGTTAACTCGGGAGTACTCCGAAAACCTGAGCGCAGCACCCAAGTCGGAAGACGAAGTGGTCCAAACCCCCGAAGACAAAGTCCAAGTAACACCAACAGCCGAGCCTTCACATCCGATTCCACCCGCCCATGTTGCTCGTACAAGATCCGTATCCAATCCTGTCATGCCGGGCTCTCTTTCTTCGCAGCCCCCGTTGATGGAGCTTTTCGATGAATACGAACAAGTACCTCCGTCTCCCTGGTCCCAGTCCCCGGCTCCTTCCCCGGCGCCCAGGGCACATGCAGAACAAAACCCCTTTTTCGTCAGTCATGCGGTGGATGAGAGCGCGTTCGCGAAACATCCCCCGCATCATGACTATTCCAATCTACGGCCCCTGGAGGCCATCGGTGTCGACCTCGCAAAATCCGTGGTCCATATCCCGCTCTTGCACGCTGGACGGTCTAAACCTACATCATCCTCCACCTTGAGATTTCCCGTTGCTATTATCTCAATCCTCTCTCCGATAATGCCCTACCCGGCCAACCTTAGGCAGTCGTTGGCCTACCTTATGCCGCATCTGACAACGTCCTTCTGCTTGGCTCAGCAATACAGCCAGTTGGAGCGCCAGGTTGCCTCACGCCTCGAGGCTCCTCGTTACGGTCATCTGCTTGGGTTAGGGGGAACATTTTCTGACGAGAGCAGTGAGTTGGAACTAGTTGCTGGGCTCAGTGGACATGTTAACTATACCATCGCTGATGACGGTTCTTTGTCCGCACGAGCCAGTCTCTCCAGTCCTGATGAACGATCGAATTCGACCAAGTTGAGTCCCTGCATATCTGGCTTTGGAACTCCCGGAATCGACCTCACCAGTATTGGAGCGGGTGCTCTTCATAATTCCACCGAATCACCTGGGCTCGCTGTCAAGCTTGGTAATGATAGCGTGGACAGCTATTTCAATGTCCAACAGTCCAAGAGCTTCCGCGAAGCCATAACGCGAAACCATCGGCTTTCCAAGGCCAAGCAGAGTGCCACTTCTACACCCACATCTCCCGGGAAACCATGGGGCAAGCCTCCAGGAGAAGAGGAGGCAACCACTGCTGCTGTCGATCAGAGTATACCGGTGACATCTCCGCTGCAAGATTTAAGAGGTCCGTCGGTTATATCGCCGACGCAGAATCCACCACGTCATCCGTCGGCCAACTCGTTTTACGCCCAGCTGCCGCGGGAATTGCCCCGCCCTTTTACCGACACGGTGGCGCAATTGATGCTGAACTCAGTTCCGTTACACCTCTTCCTCGCCAAGCCCCAGAGTGGAGAGGTAATTTGGACGAACTCCAAGTTCGATGCATATAGAAGAAGCCAGCCCCAGGAGCAGAAGCTACGCGATCCATGGCAGAACATCCATAGCAGCGAACGCGAACATGTTTCCCAGGAGTGGGCAAATGCCCTGCGGACGGGTTCGCAGTTCACCGAACGAGTCCGTGTCAGGCGCTTCAATGATGAGTCTGCCTACCGTTGGTTCATCTTCCGAGCCAACCCTTTACTGTCCGCCACGGGAGAAGTGTTGTATTGGATTGGCTCGTTCTTGGATGTCCATGAGCAGCATATTGCTGAACTGAAAGCCACGCAGGAGCGAGAGAAGTTTGCGATCGACGCCAAGTACCGCGCCTTTTCGAATTCAATCCCGCAAGTCGTGTTTGAGGCGACGGAGTACCGTGGCCTGATATTCGTAAACGAACAATGGCATCTCTACACGGGCCAGAAGTTAGAGGAAGCGCTCAATTTTGGCTTTGCGAAACACGTCCATCCTGATGATATGGAGAAATGTGGATTGCTTTCATTGTACCTTGCACAGTCCGAAAAGGAAGCCATATCAGAGACCGCCGAGAAATTGACCGACCTGGTGACAACGGCGCCTAAGGAACGGCCTTTGAGCCACGGTGTTACTCCCGCACTGGATGAACTTGTGAGGCGTGGAGTTGCTTCCTTACAAAAGGATGAGAATGGACGCGTTTTCTACTCGACAGAAATCCGACTCCGCTCCAAAGGCGGTGACTTCAGATGGCACCTTGTACGCTTGGTTCGAGTCGAGACTAGCAGCTTTGGAAGCGGAGAGGCTTCTTGGTATGGAACGTGCACTGATATCAACGATCGCAAGAACCTCGAGAGGGAGCTTAACAAAGCGATGCAACAATTGAACAACCAAATGGAGTCGAAGACGAAGTTTTTCAGCAACATGTCGCATGAAATTAGAACACCGCTGAACGGAATCCTCGGGACCATTCCTTTCATTCTGGACACGCAACTGGACACCGACCAGAGACGAATGCTTGATACTATCCAGAACAGTTCGACCAATCTGCGAGAGTTGGTGGATAATATCTTGGATGTCTCGAGAGTTGAAGCAGGCAAGATGTCTTTGGTCAACTCATGGTTCCATGTGCGGTCAGTCATCGAAGATGTGATCGATACGGTGGCCTCAAGGGCTATCGACAAGGGTCTTGAGATCAACTACTTGATGGATGTGGACGTTCCCCCAATGGTGATCGGTGATAGATTCCGCATCAGACAAGTCCTCATCAACCTCGTGGGTAACGCAGTCAAGTTCACTGCTCAAGGGGAGATACACATATGCTGCTCTATCTACCATGAGCCTACTGCGGTCACTAAAGAAACGGAGTTGTTGTTGAACTTCGACGTCGTGGACACTGGGAAAGGATTCAGTGCAAGAGATGCCGAACGCTTGATGCAAAGATTCAGTCAACTTGGGCAGAATGGCTCACAACAGCATGCTGGCAGTGGACTGGGGTTGTTCCTGTCAAAGCAGCTGGTCGAGATGCATGGCGGTAAACTGACCCCAAGCAGTAAGGAAGGCCAGGGCGCCAAGTTCTCGTTCTACGTCAAAGTGGACGCTCCTCCACCACCATCACCAGATGAGCCCCGGCTTCCTCGACATTCGTCAGCGGTATCGGAAGCGTCTGGGTTGCCATCCAAGTCCAGCTCTCTCCAGAAGTTGCTTTTCTCATCGAGAGACTCTATCGATTCCAGGGCTCCAGGCACCCCAGAACTGGCATCTGCTCTTGAGTCTCCACTTTCGCAGCCGCCAAGCACTTCTGATCCTTCCGTGCGCTTTGCGTTAAATAGCTTCTCCGAACGATCTTCGATGTCGTCCGCACTTCCCACGCCTGAACTCCATGCGGTAGATCCGCTAACCAAGGTGGATATGGCAAAACCGGCCGCCACTCAGACCGACAGCAACCCCGAGTCCCCTACTTCCACAAAGCCGCCGCCTTTGGAGCCAGGAGTTGACGCCTCTTCATCACACCCTCCTTATTCAATCCTCATCCTCTGCCCTCTGGATAACACACGGAAAGCTATTCAACAACACATTGAACAAGTCGTACCTCTCGAGATTCCCTTTTCCATCACGACAATCCCTGATGTTGAAGACTGGAGGGATTCGATAAACGATTCTTCTGCTAAGCCCACGCACCTGGTTCTGAATCTGCCCAGCGTTGATGACGTGTTGGATGTGATGCAGTATGTTTCGGAGTGTGACCCAGGTTCCGCGCCCTCGCTCGTTGTCATCTCGGACCTCTATCAAAAGCGACAAATCAACTCGAGAATCAAAGAACTGTCGTCTAGTGGAAGGCGCGTCTACACGGTGCCCAAACCTGTGAAGCCTTCTGCGTTTTCGGCCATTTTTGACCCCGACAACCGACGGGACCTGAGCAAGGATCGAAACCAGGATATGGCTCGGGAGATTAATAACAATTTCAAGACCATGTCGAAGATGGTCAAAGAGGTTATTGGGAACAAAGGGTATCGGATACTTTTGGTTGAGGACGATGAAACCAATCGCATGGTATGATATTCTGGCTTTCGAATAGCTTTAACTTGCTGACATGGTATTAGGTCATGATGAAGTACCTTGACAAGATCAAGGTTATGGCCGAAACAGCTGCGAATGGTGAGGAATGTACGGGCATGGTGTTTTCGAAGGAACCGGGCTACTATTCTCTCATCATTGTGAGTTCTGTGCACCGGCTTGTGATATTCTGCGGCTAACAGTCTTGATGTAGTGTGACATCCAAATGCCCGTGAAGAATGGTTATGACACTTGTCGCGAGATTCGTGCCTGGGAATTACGAAACCATTACCCACAGATCCCTATCATGGCTTTATCCGCAAACGCCATGACCGATCAGATCGAAGACGCCGCTCGCGCAGGTTTCAACGACTATGTCACGAAGCCCATCAAACACAATGAGCTTGGCAAGATGATGATGGGACTTCTGGACCCCAGCCGACCTTTACTCCTACTCCGGGACCGCCTGAAGGCTGATCAAGAGGGCATCCATCGCGAAGAATAGGCCAGCCTCTTGCGGCATACTTGACCTTACGCAGCATGACCGACTTGTCCGCCTTCACCCGTTCAACTCTTTACGTCGAGGTTATGAGTGTCTGCAACCTCCGCGTCCGACCTGTTATGATGTACCTGTTACTCTCCGTTTATTTCTACTTCTTTTTTCACACTTTTGGGCTGGGGTTTCTTTTTCTTTTTTGGCTCAGTCAGGGCCGTCGGATGGAAAGGCGCCATTGGATGATTCCGAGTCTTGATTAGTTGGTTTCCACGTCTGTTCTTCTTTCCCGCGCAGCCTTTTTACACCCCCTTTCGCGCGCGGATCTTGCACCATGCATCATTTTGCATTCGGCATTCAAAGTTTGATTGATACCTCTCAGCATTACGGGGCCGGAAGTTTTAAGCTTGTTCTTTGTGGACCATTGACCTTGTGCGTGGCGTCAGTTTCTCGGATTTGTTGAGCAGTTCTCGATTGTCTTCTTTTCCTCAGGCCTCGTCCCTTATGCGGCTTTTCCCGATACCAGCTTCTCACGAGCACGACATTTAACTTCTGGAATTGTATTTTGCAGATAACAGAGCGTTTTTATTCCTACCGGTGGATGCTATGTTCGATCTCCCCCTTCCTTTTCTTTTTCTCTTGACTTCTCTGGTAGATAATTTTATATTTAATATGCTCTGCCTCGACGGGTGGTTGGTTACTTGGCGCTGGTTTCGATTCCATGTGCACCTTTTGCAGATTGTTGACCAGTCTGTTGACTCATGTTGATAGTCATTGGGATCCATGTTGATCTTTGTTACCGATATACGCGGGAATGTTAAAGATAGATTCGTTATAATGAACACTTCATCTACTTGAATAGTTCCATCAAATGCAGTAATCCTGCAGCTTCGAGCCGTAGAGTCAGCATTATGCAATGATCACTGAGCAGCCAGGCTTACCATGTGCCAGGTCGGGCGCATACGATGTGCCTTTCTGTGTAACTGCCAGGGACAGAGTAGACTGTAGTTGAGGCAGAGGTTAGATATGGCGAATATGCATCTGTCTGGCAGGTGTGCTATCTACGATGGGAAATGGCACGAGTGTCTTTTTTTTTATTCCATAAGTTATGTGGTTTTCTATCATCTATCTTTGGTCTCTATTTATCGTTTACGGTTCGTATGTCGTTGGCTTATGCCTCTCCTTCCGATAAGAACACCAGCAAAAGTCAACTGGTTACCGGTATTCTGCGCGAGTACTAGGGTCAGCTAGGATGTCTGCCCTCCAAAAGAGTTCCCTGCACAGTACACAGGAAAAGGAAACGCTATAGTGTCTGTGTTTACCCAACTGGGCAGATCATGATGTGACCGGTGACCTTGGGAAATTCTGCCTGAATGCAGGATCACTGGGCAGGCGAGCCCTACTGAGGAGTCTGCCGCGAATGAGGCAACGACGTACCACCTATCTTGTGTTGGGGCGGGAGGGAAAAAAAAAAAAACGAGCCCAGCAAGCGAGACGCAGAAGGCCGGCGACAAGTCAGGCATGAGCGTTGCGACATGGGGCAGCGAGTCGTTGCGCAGTCCGGTCGCCAACCTTGTTACCAACCCACTACTTCGTATGTTCTAGAAAAGCCAAAGAGAGGGAAGCCGGTTGAGGCCCAATGGGTTGGCGGCCTCTGGGAGGTATCGGGTTGCGCCTGTCTTTGTGGCGGTGAGGAAATGCAAGAGCAAACGAACGATAGGCGAGTTCGACCCAACCCCACATTCTGTTGCATCCACATTGCATCCGCGAACATTGGGGGGGTGGCCCAGGGCGATTATTGGAAATAGAGGTGAAAGTGCGTGCAGGCTGAGATGGGCATTCGGTCGTGCAGAAAGGTGACTTGCCTCTGTTGGTCTCCAGTTCATCGTGGTGATAGACGTCACCACATGGACCTCTTCCATCGGCGTTGTCAAGGACAGCTCACCCGGTGGAGAGTGATCCCTATTAGATGGACGGAAGAAAATCAAATATTCGCCTGCGTTATGGTTGAGTCATTGGCTAGCCTGGGTTTGGTTATGAAGGCTTCATAACCGGGGGTGCTAGATGCGCGTGTCTGTTGTCATCCGTCATCCAACAATGACAGCCGTATAGAGGCAATTTTCGTCCAAGGACATAATAGAAGGACTAAAAAATGACGAAAACGGACCAAGAACGCGTCCAAGGATGAGACACCCTAATAGCAAGCATCCCTACAGATCCATCCTCGTCATGCGTTGGGCGGCTGTGTTACCCAGCGATCGGGTCGGACTGAAAGGGTAAAAAAATTCTCGGAAGGTTCCTTTGGGTTGACTTGCGTATGCGTGTTCCCCGAGCCTGATCGTGCTCAGGCAGTTCAAAAACGGGTCAAGAGCTCCGTTGTAAGGCAACAAATTCGTGAGGCAGCAAAGCCGTCAAGCTATGACGGCGCCCGCATGAGAGCCCGCGGGAACAGGCTATCAGTGGTCCTACCGGACTGTCGGTGGATGTCACCGTGAAGACAGCGAGAGACATGAGTGGCGTGCTCTCGTCCCAGCCAGCGGTACAGTCCAACAGTACGGACAGGAGCCATGCATATGGTGCCAAGCAGGTCCAGATCAGCATGTCAGCGTAGGGAATACCGGAAACCGTACTTCTCGTTTCCATCCGGCCATTTGCCCTTCTTCTGTGCCCCGTCGATCCAGACGGCATCGTTCCTTAGAGACAGCCGGCGAGCTGGCTGCATGCACTCATATACCTCGCATGCCGGAACGTGCGGAGGGTGCGATTGATTCTCTGCATCTGCAGACGCCCCCAATGCCATTTCACGAAGTCCCACTGGGATCCTTCAACGGCCGCGGGCACGTTGGCGGCGTTTAGAGCGCTTGTTACCTTTGGGTTTCTGGCCGCTGGCTTCTGCGCTCAGAGGTCGACGGGCAGCCGCCGATAAACGGAAAGCAAAACATAAGTATGAGGCCACAGCCGCCGAGGCTTTCTCTGCCCTTCGTTATCATATCCTCGGCAGACGGAGGAAGTCCACACTTGTTACACAATTGTCATTTTCTTTTTCAGGGACGACTTGCTCTTGTTTTATCATGCCGTGCCACTTCAGCGCTCCCCGGTCTCGGCCGGGATGAGTCGAAACACCTTTCTTTTGCACATGTTTTCGCCGCATCTTTCGAGGTAGTAGTCATGGCCGGGGCTGTCGGATTTATCCAGTATCGCTGATCCTACAACCTGGTCAGCACATCAGCGTCGCTTTTCCAATCACAGTGCCCGTGTCGACTAATCCCAGGATCCATGTTGCCAGCGAAGACATTTTCTCGGCTGTGTCCCATTAGCCCTTTCCAAATGCACGAGGTGATTTCATAATCAATTCTCCGCGAGAGCTGTCATGGTAAGTACGCACATTCCCCTCCAACCGCACGGACGACATATCCCCCCTCGTGGTGTTCAACAACGCGAGGAAAACAACACAGAATGGGGAGTGACAGGAGGCTATGAAAGCCTCATTGCTGACCGCAGGAATTGTCGGGCATGTCGTCATGAGTCCGTGTCGTAGTCAGGCAACGCCTTATCAGCCCGTCTTTTCGGCGGCTCGTTCATCTTGCGACTCGGCGGCAACATCCATGTTTTCCCAGCCACCCAGCCTCCGGATATTGAGAAAACCAAAACCCGTGGACTAAGATGACAGGGAAAAACAAGGGGACTGAAATTGTATAAAAAAAGACCACGGAGGAGGAGGCAGAAAAGGGGAGAACCCATGGCAGCCAACTGTGGTAGGCAATAGAACAACCAAGTAAATCCCGGCCCGCCGAGACAGCGGAAATGGGTCTCTGGACGGGCTCCATCGGCTTCCCTCCCTTCTTATATGTTCGTCCGCAGACCCCATTTTGCAATTGCACGCTTCACGGCAAGCAGACGAAAAGGCCCAACGGGACAGAATGACTCCCAATCTTGCCACGGCAGTGCGGGAGGGAGTCCGAGTGGAGGGGGATTGCGAGGGCTGGACCACTCTCCGGCCGTCCGCCGCCCTCCCTTGAGTTTCGTCTTCCCACCCAGAGCGGGGTCGATTCGGAATCAGGAGCGAATTGGCGGCCAGAGAGAAAGAGACGGGCGGAATTGGGGGGTTGCGATTGGAGAGTACTGGAGGAATGGCGAGGGTGAGGGTTGAGGGGGGAAAGGAGGCAAGACTTCCGCCATGCTCCAAATGCCCAATGACGGACACGATCAACACATGCCCCCCTCGTCCATGGGGGTTATCGTCGGCCTTGAGGGCTCTTCCGCCGGAGAGATGACTCTCCGCGGAGGGTTATATAAACCCTCATCCTGTCGGTCATCTTCTTCCTTCCTTCCTCTTCTCTTTTTATCCCTCCAGCTCTCTCCGCTCTCTCCTAGCTTCCTCCCATACCAGTCCCTGCTGCTAGTCAGTCACTGCATACCCATAGCCTTCTATTATCTTTCTTGTCTTGCAAGAGTACCGGCCTTCCAGACTCTTACCCTCGTCGTCATCCTCATTCATACACTTCAGCCCCTCCCCGCTGTCTCCTCGAAAAACTGCATATCACAATGGCGACTTACCACTACCAAGCCCCATCTCTTCCTCTCAATGTTCCCTCCAAGGCTCCGGCTTCTGCCGGCCTCTACCCCATCAGCCGCGTCCCTGGCTCTCCTCCCGATATCTCCGACGGCAGCACCACGGCGGGAAGTCGTACTTCCGCCGGGTTCAGCTACGGCTCGGGCAGTCTCAGCGGCGACTATGAGTCCAGCTCCACCTCGATGTCCGGCGTCGATGTCGTGGATGTTCTGAGCGATCGCATGCAGAATGCCTTTGACCCCACTCCCCTGGACAAGGGGCTGGCCATGCAAGCGCAAGCGTATGTGGTTTCCATTCCTGCACCGAGGAGTGATTCCGCTTCGAAAAGGGGGACATTTCCCGCGATGTCTGAATATCCAGTCCACGGCCAGCGTACTGACAATCACGAACTAGATCTGGTCAGCTGAACGCGAAGCAACGAGAGCTTCTCGAGCTGCAGGCTCTCGCTCAGCGACGTCTCAAGGGCGCGCGCGCCAACTTCGCCGACGGAATTAAAGTCGCACGCGAGACCAAGCGCGACCTTGAATGGACTCAGAAGCGTGTTAGGTGAGTTCCAACCACTTTCATTCTGTCGCTGCGACAGTCGAATCGACAGTCGTCGTCGGACCCCGCTCCGCCCCAGTGGAAGAGCGGAGGCCCGCCGCGCTCCGCTGAAGGACGCTCTTGGCGAACCTGCGTTGGCTGTCGATAGCTCCCGCGCGGACAGGATGAGGCGGGCTTCGCAGAAACCCGCGTAGAATCCACGACGCTGACCTAGTTGGCATTAGTGCGCTGAAGACGAAAGCCGAGCGAGCACACCCTGACGAATACCGACGAGCAAGCAAGAAGTACACCTTTGACGACGACAACTGAACCGCGAGACAGCTTCGCAGCTGCATTTCCTCTGTCTCTTTTCTTCGGCCGGATTTTAACGAAAGTATATAATTTATTAACGACAGTGATGACGATATCTTCCAAAACTGCGTGCAGAGTGCTGGTCTGGCTTTGCTTTCTTCTGTTGGTTTCCTTGGACTCACGGTTAGCGGGTACTTCTGGGAGGGTGTTTATTTGCTTTGTACATTGGACCGTGTGCTTACCGATAGCTCTCTGTTTCTTGATGAAATATACCTGGGCTTTCTGCAAATCTCTCGTCCCCAGAGTACTGACACCAGCAGACAGCAGCGACAGACGCAGAAGAGAACACCCAACCCCTGGCCCGATCCACGTGCAAACGGACAGTGAGACACTCACTGACATCACAGGGTCGTCCGAGCAGTCATGTGCCCGCACCCGACCACTTTTCGTGGGATATGCCCGCGGGGGCAGGCGTGGCACGGTCCCCTGGGGCTGAACTGGAGCTCTCAGGTCGTCGACCACGACCGGGGCAGAGCGACTCTCACAGCCCGGCGACATCTTACCGGCATGTGGAGGGAACCTCAAACAGCCGACGTGAAACCAGCGCGGGCCCTAATCTCCCCTTCTATCCCCAGGGAGGGGGTTGTTAACAGATTGAGTCGATGGGCCAGGGGCGGAAAAGGGGGGTTGACAGCAACTCAACTCCCCAGCGCGCCGCGCTCCGCCGACCCCACTCCGCCGGCGGACGAGACGCAAGCCCGCCGTGCTCCGCTCCGCCCTCCGTTTTCGCTCGATTTCCTTGCCGCTTTTGGGCGGCGAGACGCGGTACAGCCCTCGGTGGATGCTGGGGGTGTGACTCGGCGATTGGGCGTGGACGCGTGGACGCCACGCGAGCTGGAGGCCATTCTAGCGCGTAACCGGGCTCGACGAGCTCTGCGTAGTCAGGGGAGATGACCAATCAGTCTGGAGCTGGGCTGGGTGCTGGGTCGTGCTGTGGTGGGCGTGGCTGGCTGCTATGTAGCTTGCTTGTAGGCGTGGGTCATGTCAAACCATGCGAACCGCACGTGGCTGGAAGGATATGATGTAGGCTATGGCATTGAGATGGACAGGGTCGGGTTCCTGGACAGGTGGCGTTTGCATTGGTCTGGGCTAGGTAAAGGGGGTGTCTTCTGGTAGGGAAGATTCAGGAACGCAGGGAGAAGGCCCGGGAAGCGGGAGGATCCCAATAACCCTAAGTTTAATTATGTGTTTGGGCTTAAGTGCCTCCAGCCTTGACCGTTTGCATGCTTTAAAATACAATCCTTTAGTTCCATGAAAGAGACAGCCCCTTCAATCAATTGTTCCCACATTCGTTGACTCCATGCATGGACATGTCCTGTTTACCTCAATCGGGTTTTTCATTAGAGAACAGTATCGCACCAGCCTTACCAGCGTACCCTAATCGTTTCACTTTTCTTCCTTCAATCCTTAGCAAGCACGATCAACACCTAGTCCCACAGCAGGGGAAAGCAGCCTTGAAAGCTCTAGTAGCGCAGGAGACACTCCGTCTTCATGACCCGGACTCCTTTCCACGGATCGATCACAAAGCTCGGTAAGAAATACACCGTATCGCCGTTCTCGATCTTCACCCCATGGGACAGCTTCACCAGCTCCTCTCTTGCAATGTAAGTGCCATTGGGAGCAGTATACCCGCCATCTGAGGGCTGCTTCAGCGATGGAGGGCCGGGTCCGACGAGGCCCGCGGACTTGATCTCCTTGCTGGTCGAAGCGGTGGTAAGGTAGGTAGGTTTGGGATGGGTGCGAGCTACAGCACGTAGAAAGACAGTCAGTCGGGTCTTCCTTGGGCCTTCAAAGAGACGGCACGGGAACTACATACCTGTAGAAACACCAGCCTCGGCCGGTCGCTGATGTCGACCTTCGACGCTCTCAACTCCGCCAGGACCACGAAGAACAGGAGTTTTGTTCACCAGTCCCTGTTTAGTTTCGCCTTGAGGAGGTGCGGTGGCCGGCTTCACGATGCCGTCACTTTGCAAAGCTTGGGATTTCCATTCTTCATAGATCGAGGAGGACCGTGTCCTTCGCCTGCGAGAAGGATTGCGCTCGGGGGTGGTGAGAGCCTCATTTGGACCAGCCAGCGTAGCTGTGGGACTTTCGGCACAGTGATAGGCGTTCAGGGTTTGAGGGGCCCATTCTTCCAACATGCTGTACTCCTTTCTGGATACCTCTTTCTTCGACATGGCGCTGTTGAGGGGAGTCAGATGTATGAGAAGGGTGTGGAAGAGAGGGAGGCAGGTATGGCGAGGACAAAGCATGAGAGAGGACAGAATACAAAGGGTAGTCACTGCTTGTCCATAGGGCACATACAGTCCAAAGGTACCTAAGGTACCTAGTAACAGACGCAACTTCATTCTATGTCATCGATCTCAATGTACGCTAATATCCTATTTCTAGCTAAACCAACATATTTCTACCAGTTGAAACAAAGATCCGCCTTATCTACACAGAACTCATCTCTGCGTCAATTCTGCCTTGGATGAAGTTCACAAACCGCTCGACCCTGCTAGGACCTCCTTCGGCAGTGTCTGTCTCAATTCCAGAAAGGACCGTCCGCACACCGACATTAATCGTGGCATCAGGGGTCTCAAGGAGGTAATCCAATGCCTGGTTGATCTCCTCAGCATCAAATGCACCCTCATGTTCCATGATCCTTTGGAGTTCTGAACGGCCCATCTCGTTCGGAACCCTAATATCTGCATCGAACGAATTGAACATATCCAACTGCTTCAGCATCGCCCTCTGTCTCGTGGTGGCGATAATTAGAATGTGACGGTCCTTGGGTGGCCGTTTCTGGAAGAAAACGTCGAGGTTTTGCACAATGGTGTTCGAAAACCTAGGACCAACAGGGCGATATTCGATGATCTTTTCGATATTATCCACGACAACGATGCTGTTCGTACTCTTGTACGCGTCTTCGAAAACCTTGACAATGTGATGGACCTTGGCGATCTCACTGAGACCAACCATATCCTCGGGGCAGATCATCTTGATAAAGGGGAACTCAGATTGAATCGCAATCTTAGCTGCCAAGGCAGTCTTTCCGCTTCCAACCGGACCGTGCAGCAGCACAGACCAAAGAGGCCGGGACTCCTTGACACGGTCGACGTAGCGTCTGCCCTCCATGAGAATCTTCTCAACCTCGGGCGAGTAATCGATGATGCCATGCTCGATACGGCTCGAAAGTTGCTCTTCAGATACACCAAATGCGGGCTTCACTTCGTCTAGTGCAAGCTGGAAATCGGATCTGTTGACCTTCATATTTGAAACATCACCGGTGACGTGTCCCATGTTTTCAAGCTTGATATGCCGGTTGAAAGCAAAGGAAGAGGCTGATTTGACGAGACCAGCGATCTCGGCACCGGAGAAGTTCTTGGTCTCCCGGGCCAGTTCGAACAGATCGACATCAGAGTCCATAATCTCATTTTGTCGCATCTTCTGGGTATGGATGTTGAGGATCTGACTCCGGCCCTTTTCGTCGGGAAGAGAGATCTCCACATGCACTTCTAGACGACCAGGCCGCAGCAGCGCATCATCGATCATATCCTTTCGGTTGGTCATACCGATGAGGAGAATGTTGTTCAATTGATCAACACCGTCCAGCTTCGAGAGTAGCTGGTTCACAACACTGTCGCCCACGCCTGTTCCACCAGTCGTGCTTCCACGCTGCTTACACACAGCGTCGAGCTCATCAAAGATAATGATGTGCAGTCCACTTTCTTCTCCCTTGGCCTTGTATTCGTTCTCTGCGTCTGCAAAGACTTTCCGGATGTTCTCCTCGGACTGACCAACATATTTGCTGAGCACTTCTGGACCATTGATAATCTTCGGTTCCCTTGCGTTCAACATCTTTCCGATTTGTCGTGCAATCAAAGTTTTACCCGTACCAGGCGGACCGTACAGAAGCATACCCTTCACGTGTTGGATACCGAGTTTCTCCACAAGGCCTGGAGGGAAGATACGCGACGCAAATGCACGGCGGAAAATTGTACTGAACTCCGAGTCAAGACCACCAATGCCCATGTCTTCAAACTTGAAGTCAGGTTGAATAATTGCATTGGCCGGTGGTCTACGGTTCGACGCCCTCAAATTGATTTCCGATTCCGGATCCTTGGTGAAGTTGACTTGACTGTGCTGCGTAAGAATTCCTCTGGCTGTTTTGTCTGTTTCGACCCGTCCAGCAGCACCGCCTTTCTCAGAGCCCAGATCGACTCGCTGGACAGTTTTCACTTTCAGCTGGAGCTTGACGCCTTTGTAATCCATGAGAATCAATTGTTGAGGAGCAAAGATCTGGCTTTGGAAATTCTATCGCGTTGTTAGCGGGATTGAATACGTAATACATGTTGAATGGAAGACCTACCTTGATCACAGCAGCCCCCAACTCGTCTTGGTCGTAGGGCTCTTTTGGCCTGATCTTCCCAGCAAACTTTACTTCGATATCCGTCGAGCCAAGATACGGCTGCCCACCTTGGCTGAATGGATGATAGATCTGTACCTTGACCTGATCCCGGAGTCCCACACCGGCCCACAACCGCTGAGGTTCAGACAGGCAGATGGTTCCAGGCGCAACGCTTCCATATGGACGAGCAGAGAAGACGTAGTAGTCATTGACAAGAAGGTAAAGATCGACGCCATCGCGGTTCAGAGGGAAGTCCTGTGGCGAGATAGCAAGCCTGTAGGAGAGGTGAATTAGTCGAGGCCCCAAGGGTAACGCTCAAAGGCCAGCAACGTACAGATTTCCAAACGTAAAGGAATCATGTGGACTCCGTTCGGGGCGCAGGAACCAGGTCTGGTCTTGTCCCGGGTTTCTCGCTGGCAACGGGGGCTGCTGAGTCGGCCGTCCCGGATGCGGGCGCGCAGGACGTCCGTGATCGCCTTGCGGATAGGGCGGAGGGCCTTGGTTGGGGTTGGAGTAGCCGCCTCCCTGAGGCGGCTGCCGGGATCCAAAAGGATTAGGGACGGAAGGTATATTGTTGCGGTTGAACATGGCGCATATGGTTGAGAAGTGAAGTAGAAGGAGAGACGGCGGCAGCTATGATGATGGATGTAGCCACCTCAGCTCCCGGCTCGCCGCCTTTGCCTCCGCCTTTCTTATCGCCTTATCTGGCAGATTCAATAGGGATCCAGGCTAACTATTTTTGGTATGATTACGTGTAGACCGCCTTCCTACCTTGATCTAACCGCTTTCCATGTAGGTATATTGCCGATATAACAGGGCATCTCAGCCCGGACCTTTTTCACCTTGCCCGCCCCTCGAGCCACAAAGCCCGAGTCATTCTCTCTTGCATATTTTCAAGACACCGTGATCAAAATGCCTCTGTAAGCCTCGCGGTCTGTTTTCACCGTGCTTGCACTTTACTGACAGTTGACAGACACTTGCTTGGCAAGAAGTCATGGAACGTCTACAACCCGGAGAACATCGCTCGCGTCCGGCAAGATGAGGCGCAAGCCAAAGCGCGAGAAGAAGAGGAGGAGCGTCTGATGCAAGAAGCCGATGCGGAACGGCGGATTAAGATTCTTCGGGGCGAACGACCCCCGACACCACCGCCTCCGCGGCGCTCACCATCACCTAAGACCGGACACCGGAAAAGCCATCGAGAGGACATAGGGGGATCACGAAAGCGAAGACGTCTCGCAGGGGAGACCGACACGGACCGCGACATCAGAGTTGCGCGGGAAGATGCCGAGCTTGCGCTGGCAAAGCGGGAGGAGCTGACCTCCTTCCAGTCGAGCGATGCGCCGCTGCATGATGACACCGGCCACATCAATCTTTTCCCGTCCGAGTCAGCGCAGCGCATGAGTGAGAAGAACTCGGAAGCTGAGAAGGAGTCGGCAGATCGACAGCGCAGCTACGAAGACCAATACACCATGCGGTTCTCCAATGCGGCGGGGTTTCGTCAATCCGCTGGGCAGACCCCATGGTACTCCTCGTCGGGGAAGGACGCGATGGCACCAGAGCCAAGTTCCCGGAAGGATGTGTGGGGAAATGAAGATCCCATGCGACGAGAGAGGGAGAAGGCTCGGATGGATGCGAGCGACCCCCTTGCGGCGATGAAGAAGGGCGTGCGACAGTTGAAGGCGGTCGAGCTGGAGAGAAAGAAGTGGAACGAAGAAAAGAGCCGGGAATTGGAAGCCTTGAAAGCAGCGGAAGGAGAGCGACCACATCGTCGCCGGAGATCCCCGTCGGTAGACAGTCTGGACGGGTTCAAGCTGGATGCTGCTCCTGCCCGACATCACGACAAGGAGCATAGGTCGTCCCACCGTGAGCGGCATCGCCACAGACATCGCCATCGCCGAGACAGAAGTCGCGATCGGTCTCACAGGAGCCATGGTCATTCCAGGTCAGAGTCGCATCGCGACCGCCATAGTCGCAGCAGCCACGGCAGACGCCGCTACGATGAGGAATCCAGCACAGGGCGTAGAGAACGGGAGGCACGATGATATGATCAACTTCGCAAAATTGATACCCATGTTTATTATTTTTAAGGCTACCAGGCAAGATGTATATGCAAAGAACACTAAACGTCATCAAACGAGATCAACTTTTCGTCTAAAGTAAACTCATCCATCTACCTATTGTACGACCCATTTTTGGGAACCTTTCTCGCCTTGGACCTCCCAATCGATGGTGACATCCAAACCACGGGACCGCTCGGCATTCTTCTGGTATCCGATTTTTCCGGTGATGGTCTGGCCCTGTTTCAAGGGAGCCGGTCTCTTCTTTCCATGGTCGATGAGGACGACACCTTGTTGCCAGTGTGTCTCGGTGCCATAAGGGCCAGTAGTGAAGGCAACAATGCCCTTCTTCTGCATGTCTGACGGCAAGGCATCATCGGCAATCGGAGCGTCCTTGGAGGGCATGAAGAAGATGTCGAACCAGATAGCGAATCCGTCGAGAGCATCGATGTCTTGCTTCAGAGTGACCTGGAACTCCTTCAAGAACGACAATTCATCGACGGTAATTGTATGGAGCGGAAGAGGCAGGAAGACGGAGGAGTCTCCGGCGATAGACGATGGTTGGATCGTCCGGACAAGACCTTCGTCGTAGATGCCCTCCAGCATGCTGGTCATCTTGAAACCATAAACATTCTCCCAGAAGGTAACATGGGAATCGACGAAGTCCGAGTCGGCGAAAGGAGCAATGCGGAGAGTAGCATGCGAGGGGACCATCAGTCCTCCAGGAGCCAGATAACGATCTCTGGCGTAGATGACCGAATCAAACATGGCCTCAAAGAGCAGATAGTATCCCATCCATTCGGACACAATGATATCCACCTGATCGACGGGTAGGGTGACCTCTTCGATCTTACCACGGATGCACCTGAAAGATTCATAGTCAGCTGTAGTCCCACTGCCAAAGCGCGCCCATAGACAACTTACGTGATAACGTCTCCGAATCCATTGTCGTAGATGATTTCCTTGGCCTTGCTGATGATACCAGAGTTGTCCACCGAGATGACCTTGCGAGCGCCCGCTTTCGCGCAGAACATGGAGAGAATGCCTGTTCCACAGCCGACATCCAAGACAACCTTGTCCTTGAATAGATGCTTGTTTTCGTAGATAAAGTCCCGGTAAGCATCGGTACGAATCGCGTCTTTGAGCATGGTCTCGTGAATTCCTGGGGCCGACATAACATGTTAGCGAGTGTAATTTTCTGGGATAGGATGTTTCGCACCATTTCCGGAGTAGGAGGTAAAGTAATCGGATTCGGCTTCGTTTGCTTTGTTCTGGCTCCTCTTAGATGGGCCAGAAGCGTCAAGCTTCTCATCTTCCTTGGAGAGCTGTTCCTCCATGGATTTTTGCACTGCAATTCTGTACTCGGAGAACTGGGTCTGGAGGCGCTCCAGATCCTCCTGCAACTCGATCACGCGGCGCTCCGCCTCCGTGCCAGCAGTTGGTTCCTCGTCATCGATATCATCGAGGCTGTAAAGCAGAGCATCATCTTCAAGAACGGGTTTCAGGTACACTTCGTCGGCGAAGTTGTCCTTGGAGGAGACATCGGGGTTCTTGTTTCCTTCCTTGACTTGAGACCGGATGTAGTTGACCAATTTGATGGTATCCAGGAAATCCAGGTCTGTAGATCAGAGAAAAATACGTTAGCTAGGACACACGGACGGCAGTTTTGGTTATATATCGACCGGGCCTGTAGCAGCGGAAGAAATACACTTAACGCCATTGGATCCAATTGCGATTGACTACACACCGAGCTCTTTTTTGATCTTCCGCAGGTCGAAACCATACTTCTCTTTGCTCTCTTGAAGCATCGAATTCACATCGGGATAGATCGCGTCGGAGAAGAGGCCGACGATGGGCTGGGTATCATCGTCGGGTTCAACATCCTCCCAGCCTTCCTCGTTGCTGGCATCGGAATCTTCAGAGGCGGTCGAGTGAGCATCGTCCTCCTTTGGAGGAGGGTAGGCAGGTTGGGAAGCCATTGTCTAACGGGGTGGTGATTGCAGAATACAATCAGAGATAGATCGTGGGTAGATCGGATGGACAATGGAGGGGTTGCAGTTCCTGAAGAAAAAATTACCCGCAAAAGAAAAAATGGTTGCCCCGCCTGCTGGTTTGTTTATCCACTCTTCGGAGGGTCCAGAACCGCGATAAGCCAGCCTGAGGCCTCTCCCCACCTCCAGCAGTCACCGCCTGCTGCTCTCTCCAGCAACCCCGAACTCTCGTCTCCAAAACAACGATTGCTATCCCCTCGAGGCCTGCGACTCGACAGTGTCAATTCATTCCTTCGGCTCTTTTTCTTCTTCTTCTTCTTCTTCTTCTTCTTGTGCATGTTTCATCGCCCTTTGTCGTCCCGTTGAGCTCCAGCTCCTCTCTCTTCTCTCCTCCTTCCCCTCCCCTCACCTGTTCTGCCAGCAAAACAGTCCGAAGATGGCCTTCTTTTTCAGTCGTGGCCGGTCTCGGCAACCGTCTGATGTGGTCCGGTCAATTAAAGATCTTCTCTTGCGACTACGGGAAACACCAACTGTCCCGGCGAAGGTGGATACCCTCTGGCTTGTTTGGATCGACTGTGCTGACATTAAGGGCGTTTAGGTGGAGGAAGAACTTGGTAAACAGTTGTCGCAGATGAAACTGATCGTTCAGGGAACCCAAGGTTCGTGCACCGATGGACGGATAATAAACGCTCAATACCTACCCAGCTGCATCAGATGTGTTCGCTGACACAAGTCTCTGCTAGAAATCGAAGTCTCCCCGGATCAAGTACATGCGCTGGTTCAAGCTACTTTGCATGAAGACCTACTCTACGAGCTTGCGCGGAATCTCAGCCGCCTTCCCTTTGAAGCCCGGAAAGATACGCAGACCATATTTTCGCACGTCCTTCGTTTCAGGCCTTCTCCGAACACCCAGTCCGACCCGCCCGTCATCTCCTATATCGTCCATAATCGCCCCGAAATCATCCTGGAGCTATGCAAGGGCTATGAACACAGTCAGAGCGCTATGCCGTGCGGGACGATCCTGCGGGAAGCGCTCAAATTTGACGTTATTGCGGCGATTATTCTGTACGATCAGTCCCGGGAGGGCGAGCCGGCCATCCGACTGAGCGAGGTTCAACCGGGCATTCCTCAAAACGGAAACGGGGTGTTCTGGGAGTTCTTCCGTTGGATCGATCGAGGCAGTTTTGAATTGAGCGCCGACGCTTTCACGACCTTCCGGGTAGGAAAAAGGCCGACCCCTCGCGTCATTGCACCGGACTAACAGCCCATACGCAGGAAATCCTTACCCGTCATAAGTCTCTCGTGACCGGATACCTTGCGGCGAACTTTGACCGGTTTTTTGGCAAGTTCAACAACGTCTTAGTGCAATCGGATTCATATGTCACCAAGCGGCAGAGCATCAAGCTCCTGGGCGAGATCCTGCTGGATCGGGCCAACTACAATGTGATGATGGCTTATGTTGAGAGTGGCGAGAACCTTAAGCTCTGCATGAAGCTACTCCGCGATGACCGCAAGATGGTGCAGTACGAGGGGTTCCACGTCTTCAAGGTATGTGTCACCCCTCGCTATGAAATGGAGGAGGGGCACGATGACTCTAACAGAGAATGTCGCTTAGGTGTTTGTTGCGAACCCCAACAAGTCTGTGGCGGTCCAGCGAATTCTTATCAATAACCGGGATCGGCTTCTCAAATTCCTGCCAAGGTTCCTGGAGGACCGCACGGACGATGACCAGTTTACGGACGAGAAGAGCTTCCTAGTGCGCCAGATCGAGCTTTTGCCCCGTGAGCCGATCGAGCCCACACGGTCTGCGCGCGAGCCATCTCGGACCGGGGCCAACACGACGGCTGTGGCATGAAGCGCGGAGTCGGGAGTGGAGCGAGTGCAATGGAGATGCGACTATTTAGCGTGAAGGGTGACTACTAGGATGTCGCCTTTGGTGTTTGTTTACCCTGCCGTTTCGCTTCTTTTTGAGACGGGTGCGACAGCACAGCGGGCTTGTGTATACTGTGTGTGGTGTATGCTCTGTGCGAAGACCCGAGTACATGATGACCTGCTGGATTTTGGTTGTCTGGACTGGGGTGTTGATATGGCTTTGTCGATATGGACGCTGGTAGGAAATACAAGACAAAAAGAAGGAAATTAAAGGGAATTGATCCATGGAAATGAACATGGCAACGGCATCTGCTGTACGGAGTACCCTTGCGTAGGGGTCAATAATGAAAGAAAACGACCACAATAATGGGAGATAGTGTGTCAAGGGATGGCCGTGTTGATTCGGGCACTACCAAGAGAATTACCATTCCAACTGAACTTGAGATTCCCGTATACAACACTCCGGAGTACCATAGGTGAAAGAATACTCGGAGTAGAGATCGAGACAAGAACAGAATGCGTCGTAGTCATCATCCTCCACCCTCCACTTCCCGCGTCTTCATCTAAAATTATCTGCCTTCAACCGTCGTCTTCACCACGCAACAATGGATCCATCTCCACTGCTGCTGCGTGGCTCTAGCAATTAGATAGTCGCAGTGGACCTGACCTGTCCCACCCACTTTCCCCCCCTTCGCGATCCCTTGGGAACTGGGCCGTCATGATTGGAATTATTGTCTTCGTCTTCCTATAATAAGACGATCCAGGTGCAGAGAGGAGGGGAGGTAAGATTCTCGTCTGGCTGGGACTAACTGTGAGATCTAACTACCAACTACCTCGCCTCCCTCCCTCGACGACTTCAACGGCGCTCAGCATTCTTCTCGCCTTCTCTCCCTACATTCTTCACCTCCAACAAGCTTGTCCCCATCGGTGCGCCAAGCTTCCAGGGTGCCGCGGTCCAGCTCGTCTCTCCTCTCGCGCTCGCTCTTCCCAATTTTTCGCCCGCCCTGGTCGCCATTCAAGGCGGTCATGATCGGCTGCTGCGCCCGAGATCTACCCTCTGCACCATCGACATTGTCGTCGCTCCTTTGTCCGCTGTCATCCTTATTGTGTTACTGAGTCTAAATCTCCATTTTCCTGGACGAAGCCCGCCGGGCGACCCCCGAATCCATCCTTGGCTGCACCAAACGACCTCCCCGCCCGCTTGAACTACTACCCCCCTGTGGAAACCCGATCGCCCCCCTGTCGCCTCCATCACGGTCGCCCTCTCAGAAAAAGAAGAGAAATTCTCCCCTCAAGCCACATTCCACCTCCCAAGTTCATCCTCTCAACTACAAGTCATGCCAGGATAATGGGCGATGAGCGATCCGCTTCAGTTATCCCCGTCGTGATGCCCGACTCGGAGTCGCAGCTGCAGCCCATTGCGCACGAAGACTCGATCGCGACCTCCGCCCCTGTCGCAATTCGCTCCGCCTCCGTGTCCACCGCTGTCGATTCCTCCCTCAGTCGCGACCCTAAGCTCATCCCAACGAATACCTCGTCGAGCTACCCTGGCGATAAGAGATCGAGACTTGGACAGGAGGATGCCAAACTCGACTCCGGGCTGGATCTGTCCAGCGCGACAGCCGTCGCCCACGACCCGCGATTAATCGAATCGGACCACGCCAATCCTGGCGTCAATAGCTGGCGGTCGCTGCGCAGTATACCGAGCATTATTGTGAATGACACGGGGTCTCGCCCCGGCTCGCGCCCGGGGTCTCGTCCGGGATCTCGCCCGGGCTCTAGATGGTCAGAACGGAAATTTGGGCTGCGGCCTAAGCGATCATCCGAGTTTGATAGAAAAGGGGAGTCTCCGCCCCCCGTCCCTCAGATCGAGGCCCCTTTCAATGGGATCTCCCTGGATATCCCCACCAGTTCTCTTGATGGTCTAGGCCCACAGTCGATGCGATTCTCCAAGCGCGGAAGTCTCATCAAGGAAGAACAGAGGCAGCAATTGCAAAGGCAGTTGCAGCAGCACGAGGAAGAACAACAGCGACAACAACAGTCGCTAGAACAACAACAATCTTCGGCATCGCCACCCCCGCCGCCACCGGAGGAAGACGCAGCCTCGCAAGCGGAACAGCAAAGCGAGAAAGGGACCGAGAAGGATACCCTGAATTCATCGCCCGTCCCTCCCCAAGAATTGAGTGTTACCTCAACAGAAGCGTTAGAGCCTCCACAAAGACGCCCAAAGACTCGGGCATCGCTCCGTGTCCGGCAGAGTGCTCTTGCAAGTAGGGCTATATCCGCGGACGAAGACATGCTGTCCCGCCGGGTGAGGTTGATGTACGAGAAGGGGAACGAGAATGTGACAGACTCCGAGGTCGCGCAAGCAATGGCCATCGAAGAGGGTGTACTGTGGGAAGAAACGGCCCCAGCCAGCACTGAAACCTCTCGTCTGTCTGGTCTAAGCGTATCTGGCGCGGAGTCAAAGAGCGCGGTATCATCTGTTGATGCGGACAGCACGACGAACTGTACGAACCAACGCGAGGCGAACGAGCTGGCTGGTGGGATTGAATACTGGCAGAATATCAAGGCGGGAGACGTGGATAGATACGGGTTTATTCGTTCCATGACTTCCAATTCCATTGAAGGCATGGAACACAGCCCGATCCAACGGGTCTCGACCAGTCTGCTGTTAGCTGCGGAGACGCCTCGACGGAAACACACCATCCGGCCGCCATCGGCTCTCGCGAGCAACCGCTCATTCATCGGCCGGTCCCCGACGAGGAAGTTATCCGAGCACTCCATTCGTCCATCTTCATCACAGAGCACATATAGTTCACCCTTGCGGAGGTCGACCTCAAGGTTCCGCCAGGCGGCGAACTTCCTTCCCCATAACCGGGACCGTCGGTTCAAAGACGAGGCGGCCGACATGCTTACGATGCCGGAGGATCTCAACAAGGTCGATACCCCCGCCGCCCGCGCCGCGCGGAAGAAGGAGTGGCAGCGCGAGGACAAATGGACCAAGATGGCCAAGCCGACGAGGAGGAGCAAAGATGGGGGAGGCATGACGTTCGAGTTCGACACGCACAGCTCCAAACTTGTCGAGCGCACCTGGAAGGGTATTCCAGACCGGTGGAGAGCAACCGCGTGGTATTCTTTCCTGGAATCGAGTGCCAAGCAACGCAGCAACAGCCCATCCGAGGAGGAGCTCATTGAAGCTTTCCACGAATTTCAGCTCGTCTCTTCGCCTGACGATGTCCAGATTGATATCGACGTCCCGAGAACGATAACAAGCCATATCATGTTCCGCCGGCGCTATCGTGGCGGACAGCGGTTGTTGTTTCGCGTGCTCCACGCCATGTCGTTGTACTTTCCGGACACAGGGTACGTTCAGGGCATGGCGGCACTCGCTGCAACTCTGCTTGCGTACTATGACGAAGAGCATGCATTCATCATGCTCGTTCGGCTGTGGCAGCTTCGCGGGCTAGAGCGGCTGTATCAGTCCGGGTTCTCTGGTCTTATGGAGGCGTTAGGTGATTTCGAGCGAGATTGGCTGGCCAAAGGCGAAGTTGCCAGCAAACTAGTACGTCATCTTCATCCGGCGAGAGCTCTCGACACTGACGGGGACTAACTATTGACACAGAATGAACTTGGAATCCCGCCTACCGCATACGGCACTCGCTGGTACTTGACGCTGTTCAACTACTCGATCCCGTTCCCGGCTCAACTCCGCGTATGGGATGTATTCATGCTTCTCGGGGATCCACAAGACTTCCAGCTCAACGGAAAGACTGCCGACACCGAAGTATCTACGAGTAGTTTCGGCAAAGGCTTTGACGTTTTGCACGCAACATCCGCCGCGCTGATTGACGGTATGCGCGAGATTATCCTCGAGTCGGACTTTGAAAACGCAATGAAAGTCCTTACCAGCTGGGTCCCAATCCGAGACGTGGAGCTATTCATGCGTGTCGCCAAAGCAGAATGGAAAGTCCACCGTCGAAAAAAGTTCCACAAAGAGTGAACAAGCCTTTCCTGCCGATTGACGAGCTAGGTAGCGTCGTCAATACCTACCCACCTATCTCATTTTCCCTTCTAATAATCCCGAGCCCCCTTTACATTAATTCCTTGGTCCTGCTCAAGCGGGGACACGTCTGTTCTTGGAACTGATGGACGACACTCCGCACGATTTGTTGATGACCTGGGGCCGAGTTGGCCTCTTACGATATCCCTCCTGCGCGTCCACTTCATTCTTATAATTCTTACTTATATTATTACTCTTTTATTTGTGACGGCTCTCGCATCACGAACCCATGACCTGAAGTCCACGTTGATCTCGACCACCGTGGAGCAGCTACGTGACCTTCATGAACGGGTATAACGACCGACGAAGGCTGATGCCACGCCTTTACCTAATACCATCATATCCTTGCGTCTGCGTGCGCGCAACAGACCCGAAGAGGCTTAATTACCCTGGTTCCAAGAGCGGATACACGATCCCTTCCACCCTTTTCCTTGTGTCTCTTTCTGACTTTCGATTACGGCCTCCTGCTCTGCTTATTCTCGTGGCCGCGGGCCATTCGTGCATTTCATGCGTCAGTCCTATATACCATTTTCCTTGCGGAGGAAGGCCGATTGATTCTGATACCCCGTCACTTTCGCTATTGCTGTTGCCTATTGACTATTTCGTTTTGTCTTTTCCTTTTGTTGGCTGTTCCTGTTCCCTTGTACTCCGCGGGTTAGACTCCTGTTGGCCCAGATGGGAGACCGGCAGGTGAGACGGACTGTCATGCGTTGTAATTACTCTGAGCCGAGGAGATTAATATATACATTGAGTTGAACCGATTCTAACAAGTCGTGTGGGAGGAGTATATACACAGAGGACGTAGATGTTATTTTGCATTCAGCAAACAGTGGTATCAGTCTATGTAATTTTGATCTAGTATTCCCGCTACCAGATAACCGCCGCACATAAAATCCAATCGCACATAAATCGACCCGGCCAGCCGGGTCGAGGTATATAAACATCGAAGGGTAGGCGCAATCATTCGAGGTCCACATAGGAAACACGCAACAAGAGAAAGGTATCAGTGGAGAAGAAACCCGAAAGGTTGGAACCGAGCGAAGCCCGGAAGGGGCATAGGCGTGAGCCTCTCGTAGCATCGTCTATGTCCGAGTCCCCAGCTCTGCTGGAGACTAGTTCTATGGAAGAGAGGGTTGGTCGAGATGCATGGATCTTGTTTTATCGGCCGCGGGGATGAGGTCCCGCTGGGAGCGCCTCGCGGCCAGACTGGGTAGAGTGAGTCCGCGTGGTAGGAGACGGCCCCGGGCTGCTATCGAGATCCGAGTCCCGGGGCCCGGGTTCGACGCTCGCTGCGTACCGTGTGTGCAGTGATGGACGGGGCAATGGAGGGTTGGTGTCGGACGTGGACGTGTCTGCGCGTCTGCGGGCTGCGTGCGAGTCCTCGTGAGGCATTTCGCGGACGAAAGGACGCACGGATTCGGTGTCCAAGAGACCCGGCGCCCCAGTTTCAGACGACGTGGTCACATCACTGTAATGACGGTGGGGCGATGCTGGACGGGAGGGATGGGAGCTGAGGGTCTCGGGCGGACGCGACGACGGTAGGGGCGGCGGAGGATGATGCGAACTAGTCGATTTTCGTTTGCGGCCCGGTCCCGGCGGGCTTTGATACTCTGAGCGACGCGGAGGCGGGGCCGTGGAGGGATCCTGCTGGGACTTGGCCGCGGGGTGATGCGACTGGTTTGGGGGGATCCAGTGGTGGAAGTATAGAGACGGCGGGGACTGGCGCGGGGGCCCGTCGTGTCGACTGGGACCGTGCTGGGCTGATGGGACGGACGAGCCCGGTGCGTACTGCACATTGCTCAGGTTGATGGAGGGCGGCGGAGGCTGCGCATCGCCGGGGATGGCTCGGGCTGTGGGTGCACCCGGAGGCCTAGGGTCCGTAGAGTTACTCGGCAAGGGGGGTCTACTGAGGGAGTGCATCGTAGGCGATGCTCCCGGGGGGTGGAGGGGCTGCGACAAGAGCACGCCGGGGCCAGACACAGGCTGTGGAGGAGGGGCCGCTGCGTATGGGTTGGAAGGCAGCGAACGGGAGTCCTGGCGCACATGAGAGACGTGCCGTGGAAGAGGGTGGGCAGCGTTCAGCAGAGGTGTCGCCGGGCCGCGGGCACCCGCCGCAGGTTGAGGCATGTACTGCTGGGTCAGATCGAGGACGCACTGGGGCACGCCGCCTTGGCTGATGCCGGCGAAGATGAGCGGGATCAGATGCGGCGGGACGCCGGCCTGCAAGGAATCGCGGAGCATACTCTGCTCGATCTTCCGCTGTTCCAAGCGCAGGGACTCCTGGCGCGTCTTCTCTTCCTCCTGCCTCCTCCGGTCTTCCTCCGTTTTGGATTCGAGCCAGGAATAAAAGGAGGGGTCGGAGTTCTGTCGCTGGGGCGGCGGAGGCGGGAGCGACTGGTTCACGGCGTTCATGGTTGTGAAGCCGACGTCCGGGGGCGGTAATGCCAGGGACGAAGGAGGAGGGAGTCCCGCGCGCGAGGACTCCATCGAGGGGTTCGCGGAGAGGCCAGGCACAAGAGGAGGCGGGGAGGGCCGTGGAGTGGGAACGGACGCGTGAGCGATGTAGTCATGGGGACCGGGAAGTCCGTTCTGGAGGCGGGCGCTCTGGCGGCGGGCGTTCAGCATGCTGCCGTCGAAGACGGAAGGAGAAAGAGGAACGGCATAATCGACGCGGCGGGAGCGAAAGACGGGAGTAAGGAGACATGGTTGTGGTTGCGACGGTGAGGTGATGAGACGCCGCAAGCATGGGCCCCCGTACTCCGTCGTCACCAACGTCTCCAAATGGCCCAAAGGGGAAATGCTTACCTCAACAGGACAAGGAGAGGCGTCCGCACTAGCTGGATCGGGCACCAGACGGGAATGTCGTGCGAGTGGCCAGAATCATGGACAGACCGCCCAGCAGAGGCCGCATCGATCACGACCAGACGTCGTTGTTGATGTTGGTGTTGTTGTTGTTTGTTGATGTACAGATGGATCGACAATTGGCGGCAGACATTAAAGCAGCATCATGCAACCAAGTCGGTCTTGTTCAAGCAGAGAATGAATCCCGCAGCTGCAGGCGGGCCGAACCGACAGACGAGAGATGAGACAAGACGAGACGAGGCGAGATGAGACGAGGATGAGGAAAGGAATGTTGATTTGGAGGTGGGAATGGGAAAACGTCGATGCCTGGGGAAAGCGTCGGGGATTCGGCTCCGAAGTGGATCATGATGGACAGTATCAGAGTACGTAGAAAGAAGGGAAGTATAGTTAGAGTATGTGTTGCGAAGTTCCCCGAAATGAGATGCAACAGACTGCAGACTCCGTGTTTCATCTAGAACCCACTCTAGTCTGTTTTAGGCAGGTCTTATCAGAGAATAGCTGACTACTGGTACTCCATACGCTCACAATATGCCTGCATAAATCTATATACATCCTAAAGGGTATCCTCAGCTATCTCGATCAAACCGACTCAGCACCTCTGCCGGCACTGTCGGAATATACTTGCGCGCCCGTTCGCGATTCGTCCCTCCCCAGCCCGCCCCGTAACTAATCAACATGTCCGTACTCGTCGGCAGGGAAAACGGCAGGGTCAACGACGGATCCAAGAAAATCCCATTTCCGCCATTCCGCTCCGACTGCGCCATGGACGCCGGGGACGCAATCGACATGGACGTCCGCGTGGTCGACGCCTCGGGCGTGTCCGGAGCCTCCGTCGACGGCTCTGTCGCAGAGGCATTCGAAGGCGGCGTTTGAGGCCGTCCCTCCGTCGCTCCGCCTGCCGTCGCTTTCGCGCCCTGGAGTTTCGCATGTTCCCGGAAGAGAAGCTCGGGGTCTCGCTGGAGATCGATCAGGAACTTCATCGCCGGCTTGGTCAGCCCCTTCTCGCCCACCTCCGGCCGGTACGATTTCACCGCATGCAGCAGTTGCGCCGGCGTCAGTTGCTGCAGTTGAAGCAGCGTCGTCACCAGCGACTCAAAATCTTCGCCCAGCGACGAAAAGCATTGCAGCCACTGGAGCAGCTGGATCACCGGCGCCAGATGTTTCCGCGCCGCGTCCATCGTACTCTCCCCCGTACACGTGGTCGATCCGTTCTCATAGTGTTCCGGTTGCCGGTTGTTATTGCGTGCCCAATCCTCCAGCGTCGACACGTTCATGCGGATCTGCATCGCTTTCGTCCGCGCCAGGTATCGTTTGGTGGTCATGATGCGGTTGAAGAGCTCTGCTCCCAGCCAATAAAACAGCTGCGAGAGGATCTGCGTCGTAATGACAGAGTGGACATCGTAGAGGTCGAGCACAAAGAGCGTCGACGAGAGGAGAGAGGTGATATTCCGCGGCGACACCTGCGCCCGCCGTCGAGGGGAGGGGGGTCGAAAGCGTTTCTCTGCTGGTTCGGGGGTCTTGGCCTTGTTCTTGGACCGGAACAGCTTCCACTCGTTCTGGAAATGGACATCTTCCAGGCCCGGGATCGTCTCATGGTCCAGCATGGCGGCATCCAACACCTTGTTCATCCGGCGCTCAGCATCGCCGATAATCAGGATAAAAATCTCATTGATAAGCTCCGCCAGGTGGAGCTGGAATTCGACGGTTGATTCCACCAAGCCTCCGTCCTTCTTCAAATAATGTAGCAGCAGCGTCGCGTTCGACATCCAGAACGCCAGAATCGTCATGTCCCACTGGTGACGCTCCACCACGTCGTTGATCTTGTCTGTTGCCGATACCAACAGCGTCGCAAGCAATTCCGGACTAGCGTGGTAGTGTGCGTAGCGCGCGCTGAGGAACAGAAGATTTGCAGGAACCGGTTTCTGCGATGGCGATCTTTGGGGCGTCATGTTTGTGATGATGATATCGAGGATCCGCTCCAGCTCATGCTCTTGGAAAACAAACATCTGATCATTCAGGCACCGATCCCACACAAATTCCTGCTGGTCCTCCTCCAATTCTTCATCTAGGGACTGCTGTCAAACCGTCAGCTCCAATACAACCTCAACATGACCTGAATCACTCACGTCGAACTTCTCATCAAGCCCCAGGCTCGACAGATCCACCTCCAAATTGATCGCGCTCTCCTCCATCATCATGCGGCGCTTCATCTCGTTCTCCGCAATCTCCTCCTCAAACCGGCCGTGGCTGAACCCAGAGTCGTAGAAATCATCCTCGATAGCACTAGGTCCAAAGCTGTACCCGTTCTCATGCAGGTACTCGGAGATCTCGCTGCCGGGCTGCGCAAAGTCAAACGCCGTGCCCCCGGAGGTCGACTTGATATCAGGGGATGCGCCATGGTCGAGGAGGATCTTAGCGATGGTCTTGTGGCGGTTGGTCATGGCCCACATCAACGCGCTCCACTGGTTGCGGTCCTGCTGGTCGACGTTGGCGCCTGCGTCGAGCAGCGCCGAGACCACATCTTGATGTCCCTGCGCAAGTCAGCTCAACCCTCTCCTAAACAATATAGCACGATAGAGCAGCAAGATAGACGCACAAAACAGCTAGCGTAGATCAACGGCACCGTGCCCTCCTCATCGGGCATATTCACATCGACGTAGTCCTTCGCCTTGCCCTGGACCAGTTTATGCACGCGATCCACGTCCCCGTTGCTGGCAGCCATATTCAAGCTCCTTTGTAAGATATCCTTCTTCTCGGACTCGGAGAGCTTCTCGTCCGACGCGATGGCGTCCTCATCCGCGCCGAGCGACTCCACCTCGCGATGGGCCGCCTGCGCCGCCAGCATCTCCATCAGCCGTGCATCGCTGTCCTCCAGCCGCGCCGTGACGGTGGACTCGTTATCATCGTCGGCGGCGGCGGCGGCGGCGCCGAGCCCGCGGCCGTACTGGGCCTGGAGGCTGTGCTCGTCGTCGTGGGAGTGGTCGTCGAGGGCGAGACTGAAGCTGAGCGGTTTCGCCGCGACGGGGGTTGTGAGGAATTGGGATTGGCCTGGCCAGGTCAGTCAGTCAGTCAGCAGGTCTGTCGGAGGATAGCGTCTGCAGGCTGCGCGACCGTGCAGCGAGGATACCGACGCAACGCACCTTGCCAAGCATCGTACATCTCCGTCTCCTGCGGAATGACGGGCATGGACCGTCGATCGTCGAGGGACTTGGGTAGGTCGTCTGGAAGGGCCTTGGGCGGCTGGTCGTGAGAGGCGTCAACGGCGTCATTATTGCGGTCGAGCTCGTCGGAGGAAGCCCCGCGGGGGGAGCCAATGGAATCCATGGTGGTAGCTCAGAGGGAAGTGTCATGAAGCAACGAAGAGAGGAAAAGGAGAGCCCGATCGCAGTACTAGCTCCATGGAGGAAGCCTGCGGTCTTCCTTCCTGCCTTCGTGTTCGTCGGGTGTTGGGAAGATGGGAAGTTCGGAGGTGAGAGGAAGAGTGGAGGGCTGGATGCGGCCCAGGGTCGGAATTGTGGCAGCTCAAGAATGCCACTGATGCAGCTTTGCTTAATCCCAAACAACCCACTCACTCCACCAGGGGTCTCGGGTCCCTGATTTTCATCACGGCAAATTCGCTGGGGTTTCTACTCCGTATTGCTTTAGGCTTCATTTTATCCATGCACACCTGTGACGTCAGTCATATTAGGCAGTAACCTATTTCAGTATTTATTTCAGTACTATACTATTCTACATGCATGAGGCTTATGCATTCGTGGTATCAGCAATCCGATATCAATCGTGTATATATCGTTCCATCCGAGTACGCTGCTTCCTGAGATATCGCTGGTATACAACAAACTGGCTAGAAACAGGTCGCTATATCAAACAAGGCCAATAAAGATAGTTGCCGTCAGAATGCAGAATCAGACACATGCAAGTCTATTGTACATGGATGGCATCACAAAACAACAAAGGGTATTAGTATCAGAGGGTATTATGTAGAAGAACGCAAAAATGACTCCCCCATGCGACTATGTTTTATTCATCACTTCCCTTGTCAAAGAAAGCTTCAGTCAAGGAGTCGACTGCGCGTCTGGATCTGGTCTTCCGGCAGCGACGCAATCCAGAGGCATCGCTCTATGATGCCCTGCACCGGCTCGAAGCGGTACTTAGTACTCGCGTCGATCAACCGAAGAAGGCTTTTGACGATCTTGGCCGCGGTGCGGTACCGTTCAAAATTGACCAGCGGCTCTCCATTACGGCCAGCCACCTGGGCCGGCTTTTGGGCGTTGTATGTCAGATCATGGACATAGAGGCCTAATCGTCCAAGTTAGCTCCCAATCCATCCGACAAATCTACGAGACAAACACGTACCAACGAAAGGGATGCATCCCTCCTGGACACTCGCCGTCTCCATCTCGACACGAAGGTCGTGGAAGTTGCGCACCGGCTGGATGAGCAGCTCCATGTCCTTGAGCAGGCGCCTGTCGTCAGGAGACACCAGAGCCCACGTCTTTTGCAGTCGAGAACAGTCGGTCGAAGACAGCGCAATAGCGATCTGCAGCATGGTCGCGTAGTTGCACATCCGCCTTGCATGGGCCGCAGTATGGATGAACTTGGTCACGGTCCGGGCGCGTTCATAGATATCTTGCGTGAGGATGATCTCCGACAACACCCATTTGACCATGAGATTGAACCGCCCCACCACCAGGTCGATGCCGCGACGTTCTTCCTCCATAAGGAATTGCACCCAGTTGAGCGCCGAGGGGGACCCGTTGTTCCACCTCATGTCGACCAAGTCCCGCCAATCCACTTCGCTCAGGGCGGCCATTTCCACCAGAGTCAACTGCTGCGCGAGAGTCTGCGATTCACAAGAGAGAACAAAGGGAACATGATCTGGCCCATAAGCCTTCTTCGAGTCTTGGTTGTGGCGGTCCGTTTCAGACCGCGAAAGAATGTCTCCAGAGACATTTTGCACGTCGATTCTCCGAGCATTGTTTCCTTGTTCCGCGTCTCTGCGTCTTGGAGAAGGATCTGGTGTTAACGGCCGAGAGTGGTACAGTACAGGGTTCAAGGGCGATGCGCACGAAGCCACGGACCGGGTGTTCTGAACAGTCATTGGAGGAGAGGGAGGGTGTGCAAGAGGATGGGGCGGGATTCCGAGCGATGAGTCGCTTAGACTTCGAGTATCCATCGACAGCCGTTGGTCTAGAGCCTCCCGGGTATCAATAAAGTCGACCGACAGTTCGGACGAGAGACCAGATAGACGACTGGTCCGATGGTTGGATGGCCGGAGTCGATTGGGAAGAGTTGACCCTCGGGGAATGCGCTTCATGCTCTCGGTTTCCCTGACCACATCGATGGAAGGATGCGACGATCCAACGTCTGACATGTCTCGCTCCGAAAGCTCACGTACCTGCACTTGAGGAGCAGAGTCTTGCGGGGGATTACCCCAGCTCATCCGGGGCTTCTTCATGGATTCGTCGCTCAAGCCTCGCTCCAGGAGCGGAATAGAACTATACGAGTCTTCTGTCTCTGCAACAGAAGCTGAATAGGGCCGGTGTGGAATGATACGCCCGCGTACCTGGGAGTACGTGAGATTATCCCCAAGTGTTTGCCGTCTATGCGAGCTTGGATCCGAAGTACTCTCCGCAAGATGACTGCCCCGATAGAACATTTCCTGTTCGCGAGCACCGCGCGCCTGAGAGCTTGACTGAGGCTGCTCCGACCCACCGGACGCGCCTTTCCACTTTCCCTCGAGTTTCAACAGAGCCGACTCAATACCGCCATCATCGTCATCGGGTATTTGAGCGAATTGCGCAATCGCCGCCTCGAACGATCGTCGCAAGTTTTGAGATGAATGGGTCTGGATGAGCGAAAACCGAGGATTCGGCGGAACCAAACTAGTCTGCGGCCTGGAGCTGGGATCTCTTTGGCGGGAGAGAGTGCTCTCTGGAACGGAACTGCGGTAATTCGAGATGAATGAGCCGGAATCTGAAGGTGACTCGACCCCAAGTCCCTCTCGCATTTGCCGTAAATCACCGCCAGGACGTCTCCGAAGGATGGGCCCCGCCGGTTTGTCCGAGTCCTGTGGGCTCCCATCTTCGGGGAGGGGACCTGGCTCGTCCCCAATTTCTAGGCGCTGCCGAGATATTCCACTCTGAAAGGATGCGTACTTGCGAAGACGAAGGGACGGTGAAGTTCGTTTCCAAGATGCAGGTCCGCGTTCGACAGATATGGACCTGCGAGACGTCCACAGCCCCGGTGGTCGCAGTAATTGAGAGATTCGCCTGGAGGATCTTGAACCAGCGTCGTCGTAGAATATGGGAAGCGAATACTCGTCGCCGGCTAGGGTGGATCGCTGAGACGGGGAGCGAAAGAAGGTAGCCCTCGGAGTAGTTGGGGAATGCATGGCAACGGCTCCCGACATAAGGGGATCCCGAAGGCCAGTATCGTCGACGATAACAATTGATTCGCTTCCCGCGGTCAGTTGGCTCCGAATCCTGGACTGGTCATGAGTTGGATATCCCCGCTCATCTGTATCGCGGCAGAACCCTTGCTGAGCTGCTACTCGGGGGGTAGGAAGTCCGTCAACAGGGCTGTCATCTGGAGGATCCCCAACGACATGGCGATATTGCTGCAAAACCGTATCACAGAGGACATCAATCCTAGCAGGTCGCTTTGTCGTGGCCGCTGCTTTTCTGTCCCGGTAGAAGTCTGATCCAAACGCGACGTTGCTGGGCAAGGCCGATGTCTTCCCTCGAATTTGCGGAGCGCCTGATACAGTTGTGCTGCGTGGAGATGTACTGGAGCCCCCATGTCTGCTATGCAGCGCTCGTCGGATTGATCCAATTATCGTCTTCTTTACGCCTGAACCCGAACTGCCTGGTTTAGAAAAGCCATCTGAGTTGCTTCGACGATCAGAGGTGGGCGAACTGGTGGCGGAGGGCAACGGTGGGGACGGAGGCGCCATCATTGTCATATACGATTCTGCGGGAGGATAGAGCTCACCACGAATCAGGCCGCCTAGGTTGATCTCTTCTTGCACCGAGGCCTGATTGTCGAGTTTCAATAGCGATAGCGGAGCCCGGTCATCTCGTACAGAGTCAGAGAAACTGCCACTCCGTTTATGTGCATGGGTATGAAAAGGATGGCGTCTGGAGATAGCCGGCGACAGAGAAGGCAGGTCTTGTGAAGGGGGCAGCTTGGAAGTCATGAGAGGTACGATATGAGGAGCTTTTTGGTGAAAGGGCACGGAGAGGCGTTTGGGAGATTTGGGCGGAAGTGAGCAAGAAATCGGCTGTATACTGTTGTCACTCTCTGCCGATATAGGCACGCTCTTGGCCGTCGCCGAAGAATGATTACGGTCATGATGAGCGGTTTGCTGGCGTTCAGCAATTTCGACGTTGATATTCTGGCCGGCACTTGCCGTCCGAGTGATGTTCGGGGGTTCACCAATGCTCGCGTCTGTGGTGTCATCTCCCCCAGGAATAATAGGGTGGTCTGGATTCTGATACGCAATATGTTGGTCTGGCACGGTCCAGTAAGTCGAGCACTTCCCAAGCCAGCACCGCTTGAGGTCAATGAGAATTTTCAAGTCGCTCGTGCCGCCTTCTTCCCGAGCTTTGACAGCGTTGTACATGTTATTTATCGTGTCACAGAAACGGACCCGAATATCATAGTTGGGGATGAAATCATCGACAAAATAGTTCAGGATCCAGTGTCGGAGGGCCGCAAACGTACGAATGCGAATGATTCTCCCGTCGTCCTGCAGACGATTGATTGCCCATTGTAGTCGAGCCAGCAAGAGTGCAAGAAGGTTGGAAATGGAGAGATAGGAACGGAAGGTAAGGAAAAAGTCGGACACGAGTTCGTAATCCATGAACGATTCAGAAGATATCTGCGCGACAATCCGCGCAGGCGTGGCGGCGCTGATTTCCTGGGTGCCGAGAGTATAACGGACGACTGCGCTACTGTCCATCTCCGACATTAGATTGTCGAAGACCGCCGGCCGGATTGGCTCCTTCAATTCATACAGCTCTGGCTTGCTACCGACGCCAGACCCTTGGGCCAATTCGACGGCGCTGGTCGTGGGGAATCCCGTTGGAGAGAAGGAAGGCCGATCCGTGTTGATGATCAAGGAATCAGGTATTGGGCTATTGTTCCAGTCCTCTCGGAAAAGTGGCGAGGCTCTAAAGTTGTCGGACTGCGACGTTCTCGAGTAGATAGAGCTGTGGAGAAATGTGCTGCCCTCGTGGTTTAATAGCGGCAAGCCTAGTCGGTGACTGGAGATATGGACGTCCAAGGCCGGGTGTGAAGACCCTGCGGATTTGGGTCTGTCGGCCGTTCGATCTATGAGAATTCGGTATTCGCCGTGGTGCCCTGCGCGTGAGGCTGAGCGCTGCTCTGAGATTGTGGAAAACGAATGGGCCCTTTGAAGCATGCGACGAGAGCCATGGTACCCAGAGCGTGTCGATTCCGCAATGACCGAGTCGCTGTCTTCGCAGGTTTCTTCCGGTATGAGATCTGGACGCAGCTCCGATAGCTGCGAGTTCGACCATCGCGAAGGCTCGTTCCCAGGATGGCCGCCATGTCTATGCGGGTGAAGGTGCCGGTCTTTCGATTGGTCCGTGAACGAGGGAGCGGGTGGCACGCGCGGTGCCTTGAGAGACAGATTTCGAATCGGTCTGATAGATGATAGGTTAGACGGTCAGGTCAAGGGCTGCGGCCGGCACACATGTCACCGCTCACGGTCATGGAGGTCATCGTACCTGAGGAAAATCTTTCCGTTTTGGCCTACGTTGCCAACTGTGAAATGGTTTGGTTCCCGTGCAGCCGCAAGCGCATCGCGGGTGGACGGTAGAACGTCGAATCGCTTGAGCGAGCGCTTCCGCAGGGCCTCATGGCTACTCTTCACCCGCAGCAGCGAGGTAACCATCCGTTCCCTTGCCGTTTTCTCTCCACTACCGGCCCTTTCACCCATGTTCTTCCCTTGTGCCACCGTGTGGGCGCGTCGTAGCATCGACGTCACATATTGAGGATCGGGAGCGGCCGGGGTGTTCGCATGGGCGTCCCGCGCGACTGTTGTGGGAAAATGTGCGGTCTGCGTGCGATACGATTTCGGGGGAAGTTTCTCTGGGGCGGAGCGGGGGTTCATGATGCGTAGCGTAGGAGCAGGCGACAGGCGTTGCGCCTGGTTGGTATACGAAGAACCGGGGGGCGGTCTTCAGGCGGGTGTGGGTAAGTTGACGCGGGTGGGTTCTGTTGCTTTTACGCCCACTGGAAGGAAGCTAGAAGGAAGTAAGATGTATGGACAGCCTCGGCTGGGATCGCAGTGCGTGCTTTGCGACACGACATGACCAAATCTCGCAGGATTCCAATTATGAGGCGCTGCAGCAGAGAAGGCGATGCAAATGGGACATGGGTTGGGAGCGAGTTGATGGAGCAGGGAGGGGAGGAAGGAAGGAAGAGAGGAAGAGGCGGGTTTGTTGACACGCGGAGGTGTGCGAGAGAGAGGAAACCGGCAGGAATCCAGGCAAGATAAAAACAAGGATCACAAGCACCGTCGGCGCCGTCAATGACGGTTATGTAGGTAGTAGGGAGGAAGGTAGGTAGGTAAATTATCCGAAGTCTCCAGTCAGGGTAAATAAGAATAAGAAGTAGTAGTAGTAATAATAATAATAATAATAATAATAATAACAGGTGGAGAGCGAGAAGAATGAGACGCGCCGATGCGCTAACGCTCAACTCGGAACGGTTCCAAGAGTGCGGAACCACCAGCTGCAAATATGTTAACGGGCGGAAGAACGATGGAGTTGGTTGTTCTCGGTATCCGTGGCCTGTTCCATGGATCAACCGCTGTCTACCAACAATACGGAGTACATAGATTCTGTATTGCACCACCCGCCGATGTCGTCACGCTTACTGAGGCCTCAAAAAAGCATAGAAAAGACAACGGAACAGAAGGCAAACAGCACCATGCCCTACGGTGCTCCAAATGGGGCTAGATGGCCCCATGGGCTATTATAGTCGGTCAGCTGAGGGTCGATCTCCCACTCCAGATCGTGCCAGTCCGCCATCCGAAAGCATAGCGGGAGGGGGATAACGACGCATCGAATTCTCATGCCAGGCCGAAGGAGCTGCAGCTGAGAGAACTCCAGCTGGAGACGGACAATGCCATGGTATCATGAGATCACAACGGAGAACATCCTCGTTGTAGGACCCAGTGAGGTAATAATAGAATCCACCCGATCCATAAGATAGAGATCTCACCTCGGGAGCTGGGTGGGTTATGGTTACTATTATTATAAGGTGTTATGAGAATCATCGTCATATTATCACAGTGCAGAAATGTCCTCCGTACACCAGGAGATGTCTCAACCGACAGTCCATGACACCCGCGATCCCATCATCCGACAGGTCGCCCTCACCAACTTCTGGTGTTTGCTGTACGGAGTATACATCGCCCAGATACTCGATACATCACATCCCGAATTTAAGACGCATCCTGCGAAACGGTGAGGCCCATTCCACCGGTAAAGCCAAAATCCCATAACAATATTAATATGATGGACCTCTATTAGTCGCTTTAGGTAATTTTTTCTGCCTGCTTCATCTAATTAACTGTGAACCGCGTGTCTGGTTATGCGGGCCCCCTTTTAAGCCGCCCATCCGAGGATCATCCACCCATTGCTGGGCCCGAAACCACGATAAAAAGGGGGGCCCAAAGCTCATTCGAAGATCAGCCGGAATTCCCACCTCGCTTCTTCTCAACACGGCACACTCGTATCTTACTCTCGAAAAAGGGGGTCAGCGGTCAGCGGCTGGGGAAAAAATTGATGCGGTCAGTCGGCAGCCGTTAAGTGCCACTAACAACCATAACTACAGGCCGCCTCATGCGAGCCGAAGGAACGGGCTAGGCGAGTCTTACCAACCTCAGCAATTCCAGGGCTCATCCTTCAAAGGACGTTTGTGGCGGGTCTGCGGTAGGGGCTGTGATTGACTGATTGACGGGGACTGCTGGACGCTAACCGCTCCGTTAATTTAGCTGATAGAACCGATAGGGAGGGAGTGGTTGACCCGTTCGTTCGGTGGGCGTCTTTGATGTTCATCTTAAGGACCGGGGTGTCGTGATCTTCGTCTTCGGATAGGAAGGAAAGGAGAGTGTATAAGATGGATATGTCCTCCGTAGCAAGAATGTCTTTGTAGTACATCCTACTAAGCCGGAAGGAGTAAAACAGAAACTCCCGAGATGGACCTACCGTACCCAGTACCTATGATGCAACAAACCTCCACCTCCGACCACCGCTGGCAAGTCACAACGCCCGCGGAAGAGCGTCACTGCAGAATGTCTCATGTCAAATGCACAGTGCAGACAGAAGAGAAAAAAAATCCCTTGCAGAGCTCCCCCCTAGCATTGCGGTCTGGCTTCCGTCTCTCCGCGCATGCAGGATCTCTGGGTTGATTGGATGACAGATGCGTGACTCAACGTAAGCGCACACAAAATGTTATATATCGATCTGTCAATCTGCGAGTGCATCAAAATGGAATCATGACGCTGGGACGGGAGTACAGCTCTTGAGAGGGAGCTCAATTTGGACCCCGCCTGCAGCGGGGAACGCGGCGCTCCTTTCCAACCATCTATCATCTCGACGCAGTGATCTAGTGTCTCCTATCTCGAGGGGTTTGATGCCCGAACATATACGATGGGGTCCCGAGAGGGATTTCAAGGTACAATGGCAGAGACACTGCGTTGTAACAAAGCTTAGAAAACATTCTGCAGCCATCCCACTACAACTGCACACTCGGCTATACGAAAATCAGAGTCCATTGTACGCTTCACTCCGGAATAAACCCCTTATACCATGCGTATTAAGATTACACCACTGCTTAATTCCGGCTACCAGAGCTTGCAGACGGGTTTTTTGGTCGGACAGTTAAAAGCCTCTTTGAACTCTCGAGCGTTTGCCATCGTTCCCTAATATCATCATGTTAGCCCCATCTAGAGTCTGCCTCTCAATATGGAAGTTCTCACCAGAATCCTCGCAGGCTTGGGCGCATGGGGATCGTTGTAGATGGCTTCCCGAGCAGCCTCCAGGGTGGATTTGCCGCACCACCAATTAGCATAGGAGATGAAGAAGAGCTGCTCTTTGGTGAACTTGGACAGTCCGGGCAGTTGAGGGTCCGGCGATGCCTCTTCACGCTTCTTCCAGGCATGAAACGCCGCCCCAATACCGCCAGCGTCTGCAATATTCTCACCAAGCGTAAGGCGTCCATTCACATGGAGAGGTTCGGAGTCCTTGCCCGGCACAGTGAACTCGGAATATTGGTCCACAAAGCATTGTGCACGCTCCTCAAACCCTTCGACCGTTTTCTCATCCCACCAGTCGGTATAGTTTCCGGTTTCATCATAGTGTCTTCCAGTCGAGTCGAATGCTACAAAGCGTCAGGTCAAATCTTGCATTCTATCCCCTTTCCCATGACACTTACCGTGTGAAAGCTCATGCCCGCTGACGGCACCGAATGCTCCGTATGCCAGATACAGAGGTGCGGACGGTCCATAAAAGGTGGGCGGTTGCATGATTCCAGCCGGGAAGACAATTTCATTCCCAGGAGGGTTGTAATAGGCATTCACAGTGGAAGCAGTCATGTCCCATTCATCCCGGTTGGTCGGTTTACCCAACTTCGACCACTCTCTGTGCACCTCGAATTTCGCCGCTGCCAATGCATTGTCAAAGAACGAATCACTGGAAATGTCCAGATCCTTATAGTAGTTTTCGACGTCCCCCGGGTCCATCACATTGGGACTCTTGGTAGGATAGCCAATCTTCTGCACAATGTTTCCAACCTTCTTGATGCCCAAATCTCTCACTTCCGCGGACATCCATTTCGTTTCACCGAGGGTATACACAAATCGCTCTTTGATATCGGACACGATCTTATCGCCGAGCTTCTTCGATTCTTCGGAAAAGGCATCAAGGACGTAGAACCGGCTAAGTATCCAGCCGAGATCACTGTCCAGAGAACGAATGCATTTGCGCCATCGTTCCTCGGTAGCTTTGGGGTCCTTTCCTGCCATCTTGTTGTTGAACTCACGAAGAGGTTGAATCTTTGCATCTTCGACGTAGTCGGAATATGCCTGAACGATCTTCCATTTGAAGAACAGCTGGATTGTATCTCTCGACGTCTCGTTCAGTATAGTCGATAACGACTTCATGTAAGATGGGGATCCCAAGATCAAGCGGTCGGTCTTGAAATCAGAGGGCGCCAAAGCGGAGAGGATGTCGGGTATAGAGATCTGTGGCAGCATTGTCCGCGTCTCTTCGATACTGTGCGGGTTATATGACTTTGTCACATCTTCCTGGCTTTGGGTATCTGGCGTGACATCGGCCAGCTTTCCTTCAAAGGCCACAACGTCACTCAATTTCTGTTTTGCTTCGCTGCTAACGAATTGACCGAGCACCTCTTCCAAGACTGTGATATATTCCGTAACGGTTTTGGTGTCATTATAATACTCCCTTGCGGGGAGTCCAATTTCGCGGAGAGGGTTCACAAATATGGCTATCGTGTCCGGGGCACGATCATCAGGCTAAAGAGTCAGTATATGGTGAGCATCAGTGTAAATTAACCACTTACACCAACGTACGGAGCTACCAGAGCGTCCACGCCAGACTCCATCAAAAACAATATCACATCAGTCAGGTTGGTGGCGGACCCTTGCACAGATGGCCTGCCCGTGGAGTAAATCTGTTCAATACTGGCCAGCAGCTTATCCAGCGGTTCACTTCCTCGCTCAGTTATCTTCTTCTCGTCCATGCACGAATCGTACGCGGCCTTCAATTTTGCGAAATTGGGCTCATCTGGGGGGTCACTGGATTCCAACAGATGACGGAGCCGTGTCTGAGAAGCCTCAGCCATCAGTGTTCCCGCGAATATAGACCCCTGGTCCGGGCGCATGTCGTGCCGTTCTCTCCATCCTCCGCAGACATACTGGTCGAAATCGGTGCACGGATCGATATTAGCATAGTCCGGGTCGAGGTTATACAGTATCTCGCTTGCGGCATGGACGCATTCGGGCGATTCACAAACGGCCGTTGATACCGGGTGTGGAGGAGCTGCGTCGGACGAATTGTCTGATGGTTTACCAGGCAGTCGTTAGAAGGCAGGTGGCAAGGCACTTAGGAATTTAGGACTCATAACACACCGAACAGTATAGTCCAGAAGTAATAGGACACACAGACAAACGAGAGTATCGCAAAAGCGATATAGCGGCTCTTTGAGCGCCACGCGCCATGGTATCCATGGTTGGCTTTCAAGCTCCGAATGCCGTGGTCACCAAGCTGGCCATCGTCGAAGTATTCAAAGACAGCTCGGTGTTTTTCAAGCTCCGGGGTCGACACTTCTCGTAAAAGATGAGTGCTCTCAAACTCATCTTCGCTCCTATATAACGTCAGGACCTCTCACGGACAACGTCGCTCATGGTAATATGACCTCGTAAGGGGTGAGCTAAGCATGCTGCTCTGCAGGTCTAGTTTGCCATCAACAGACTGCATGTAGTAACTGAATCTACTTTGAGATTCAGAGCAAGAAGTAATTCAGTATACGGAGTATATATGCGGTTTGGAGGTCTCTGTTCACAATCCCCTGGTGCAATAGAGGGGGTAAACTTGAGGGTCATCACGACCCCATTTAGTTGTTTCACATACCAATGGCGTCACATGTCCATCATTGATGAATAAGCAACACCATCAAAGACATTGTAGCACCAAACAAAGGACAACCATTTGAACAATACATTAACTAGCTGTCTGATCAGTGAAATTAGACAAAGGAAGTGAATCGCTCTTGTCTTCCTTCAACCAATACAAGTGGCTGCTTCAGGGCAGAAACCGTGTACCATTCTAAGTCGGGAATTCGGTCGACTGTCCAGTTGCTAGGCTTCCAACGCACGGGTATCTCGACCACTCTCTATGAAAGCTTTGTAGACTCAGGAGATGCCATCTTTGACTCCATGGTGGAGAACCAGAGACAGTCGTGAACTCTAGGCAAGATGTCCGATGGAAGGTCTGCGGCACCATAAACTGTTACCACTCTGGATATACCTAGTAGTGGTTGCTAGCTGTGGCCGGTTTCACACCGACCCTCCACGATGAGCATCCGAGCTCAACGCGCAATTGCAATTATACGAAGTTGGGGTAGTAAGAGCGTCGTTGTACTCCGAGATTCCAAGCTTGGACTCTGGCTAAGTATAGATGTGGAAAACATAGATGCCCAACAACCAGAACAATTCACCTCGTTGGTCACACAACGCTTTTAATTACGGGCTTGATTGTAGACTTGCAAATACGCATGATAGCATAGATAAAAAAGCTGATTATAGGTAAGGTGTAGTATTACTTGTGAAGCTTGAAGCTGTCTTGTTGCCTTTTCCAGGAGTTGCGAGGCTTAATAACTTGTGCGATATATATTGACGGATACTATGCTCAGCTGCAGGCGTTGACAAATACTAGCTTACAACAGCGATCTACGGAGTATTTAGGGTGGCACAATATGTAGAGTATTGTATTACATGGCATAAACTCTACATATGAATAGAGTGGGGAGGTCTTTGGGCAATCACCAGCCATCTACATTCACACGTCAGTGATAGAGCATTAAACTATTAAGGTATTGCTGGCAGCCAGGCCCAGCAATCATATAAACACTTATTAAGTTGTAGAACAAGCCACAACGTCATGAATAATAATGCCTAATGATATATAGGAGTACAAGTACAGGACACCCAGCAAGCGGATATTTCTCGTTTGAGACTCGGCACCTCTAATTACATATACCCACAATGCAATGGGCCGGTCTACTTGGGCCGTGATCCAGTACTCCATAGGGATGAATACGGGGAACAGGTAAACCCACAACACCACGCCCATAGAACTCCTGTGTCAAGTGAGGCGAGCTGCATGAAATCTGATGTGTATTATCTACTCAACACTAGCGGTCTGCCTGGTCAGACCTTGGATGCCACATGGCAACCTGAAACTTCCCAAAGTTGACGTGTTATCGATGGGATCAGGCACAGCCGTGTTGGTCCCAAAAGGTCTTCCTCGGAATGGGCAGATACCACGGCAAATGAAGATCGCCCATTGTTAGGCTGGAGAAGAAGGTTGAGAAAGAAAACTTGCGGTCAAGGAACTTGTTTCTCTTTGAAAGGAATCCAGGAAGATAGTGGACCCTGCTTTTCATTCCGTGGTCCCCATTATATTGATACCCCAGAATAGAAAACCACGCGAGATTAAATCACGAGCATGCCGGGTTGACCGTTGGCTAACGGTGCGGATGAGGAATTGACAGCTGGTGATAGGTCTATAGACTGTCAATCTAGCCGGAAGTATCAAAACCAATCAAGGGACCTATGAGGTATCCAAACGGATTAAGCTTCTGTGGCAACGTTGATACGACGGAGCCTGTTTAAGCTTCATCCGTACGCACATGCACTTTTCACACGTACGGAGTAGGCATGAAGAGACAGGGAAAGTTCTGTATTTGTGTGTCCCGTCCATATTGTGGGGACGAAGCGGGATTGGCGGTTGACGATGAAACAGAGCTAAACTGGATACCGCATAGCGGCCAACCAGTCAGCAGAAGAATGGCCCGTTCTCCTGTCCTGGGGACTCTGTGGCCCAAAGAACATGTTCTTTCTGTTGGGTTTAAAGCAGTTTCAAAACTCAAATATAGTCCGTCGTTCGACTATCTAGTCTAGGTACTCCTCAATATCCTATCAATATCCAGGTCATTCCTTCCATTCCCCTGTTTTCGATTAATAGAAATCTTTTACATGTGTCTATGTTCTTAAAATATCTTCCTACGACGCTGGTCATAATTTGCACGATATCCGCAGCGTGCCGGATAGGACTCCGAACAGCCGGTGATCACCGAAATAATGATGATGATCATCTGGACTTGACGGACACTCTCCGTACTTTGGGCACTGTTACACCGCTAGGAATAATAAAATTTCAATGCATCGAACAGTATCCAAGCCAGTCCCGTGCAGAGATCAAAGCTTTACGGAGTAAGTTCGTGCTCGGAGATGCCACATGTCACCCAAGTGAGAGGATACAGTAGATATATCATATGACAGCTTACATACAGCCCCGCATAATCAACATAAATGATGTGTTCTATGTATACGCATATCAAGGATGGACAGGTCACCAATGGGATTGCGATTCCGACATTCCCCTGGGAAAGGGGGCTTATGGGTCGTGGGTTCTTGAATCGGGGCATACCTAGGTACGGAGTAGGTACGCCATCCCGCAAGAATAACATTATTACTCGTACTCCGTACAGGCCCCTGCCTTAGCGTCGAGACGGCGTCCTTCTCGTCGGGAAGATGAAACCGGAAGAACAGAGCCCGAACTTCTCCGTCAAAAGCACCAGGCGAGTGAACAAAAGGATTATCGAGTGGCATGATAGACTACCGGGTGGAATTCTATTTCAGCACCACTTGACGGATTAAAGTTTCACTATCAGTTGATAGGACGATAGGACGTGGCATAAAGTGACAGTGTTGACATTTTTGGAGACAAGCTCTGAATAAATTGACTGATTACAGTATATTGTACATCAGTCGACAAGGTCATCCCTTATGATAGAACACCGCACGGCTCGAGAAAATGCAGGTCATTCATCGCGGCCAACATCAAATATTAGCAGTTTGTTGGTATTCATTAATGACCACTAAAGATCCAGGAGTTCTCTTGGAGATGTTACGAATATATGTAACTACATAACAGACACAACGGTCATTTGTGAGAGTCTGAAAAGCCCGTGGGATTATTAAATCGGTACATTATCGTTGCGGTCTTTAATTACGAACCATCCCGGCTGCTGAGCCCTAAGGCCGTTTGCGTAAGCCTCGGCTCAGGAGGAAAGGGATGGCCGTAATCAGGGGGGCAAAGATCGGAAGTCAGCTAGAAATCAATCGAAGAGAATCGTGCTCCATGACGCTGGGGGTTTGAAAGCATGCCCGGTTGTACTCTGTATGTACAGCGATCACGCTTTGGGCTGCTGATGCAGGATCGTGTACCTTCGGAGTGTCGTAGTACTTGGAGTATGCGCCGAAGCCATATCCGTCGATCGGTGCATCCCGCTTCTTTGCATCGAAAAACATGGCTCATGGCGTCGTTCGGTTGCAGCTCTTGGCTGCATGAAAAGGGGAAAGTGGAGATCGGATTACCCTTCTCTTCTGCCACGGAAGAAATGGACAGGGACAGTCTGGTGGATCCTAAACCCCGCCAAAATGGATGGGCTTTGGGTTACCTACCTACTACGGAGTAGTATACCGGTGTATCGGAGGTAATTATCATACATAGGTAGGTATTATTATTATTATTATTATAATAATAATAATAATAATAAACAGAAGGACAGGAAAGAAAAGGTATTCCGTACCTACCAATAGGTTAGGTACCTACCTACGTATAGTAGGTACTTCCTGGTTCAAGCGAGAGCTAATAATAACAGGCGGAAATTAGAGGCACGCCATACAGATTGTTTGGTGTCTTCGATCTCAGCATCTAGTCATCTAGGTACTGTATGCAGCTAACCACTACATTTTCTGGATGTGGTAAGTTAGAAGGCTAAAATGATACATGGATCTGCCGGAGAGCTCCCCCTCGATCCCTGTAAAGACTTCGATCTAATCAGTTGGTACCGTACTCCGAACTCCGTACTTTGTATAGGTACCGGTATCTTACTCTACAACCACGGAGACGTACTCCGTACCGATCCCCTCCTACTACTCCGTGCAGGTGTCTCTGGATCTTTTGTCGCTTCTCACCGTAGGAGAGTATCGGACCAGAGGAACAAACGAAGGAGGAATCTTCTATCCTGTGGATAAATCGTCATTTTCCCCCTGACCACTCACATTTGGCCGGGACGGCTGAGCAGCCACCATTGGGCGCTGGTACTGACGTGGTACCTCCCGTTAGTGTGCCGGGCTACGAGGTACTTGCTAGTTACCCGTCGAACCTAACAAACCTAACACCACCTGACCACTAGGACTAAGCCAAGGCCGGCGGAGCTTCCCTTCTTCAGACTAAGCAGCTGCCGATGGGCTGTATTATTCTCTACCTACCCATCGCCGGAAATCTTACGCTCATCTGGAATCCATCCATGGTCTCCTCCAAAAAGTCCACTGCAGGATGACTACGCCAAAAACCTCCTAGCTCCATAACTGCGTACCCGCACGCTGCCACCATGCGCCCCTCCCCTCCCTTCGATCGGACTGTGATTGATTGAATATAATCGGCCTCTGCGCGACTCAATCCTTCCCACCCCCAATATTATTATTTACGGAGTACAGGTATTAGTCTTACTATATTATTGTTACTATTACTACTACCGTATTCCTCTGCGACTCCGGAGTACTAACTCCCCTGCTATTGTCGCTATTATTATCTTCACCTTTCTCACCACCCTGGAGGAACCGCTTTCCTTGTTCTTCTGCCTCCTCCTCCCTCCTGTTGGGTTCCATCTCCCATTTCCTTTGTTTCCTTCGTTCTTTCGCTACGTGGGACGCTCAGAGATGCGCCACTGCCCATCATTACACTAATCATTCCGAACCTCCTCCCTCCGTGTCCGCCTCGATAGCCCGCCTTCCTGGTGTTGGCGACAAATTTCCGCTCCCTTCCGGATTTGCTGGACGTTGGCCCGTTTAGCGTGCGAGAAACGACAGTAAACGACCAGATAGGACGTCCGTTTGACGTTTGACGTTTGACTTGGATTCCCTCTTCGTCGCGCGCGACCTTTTGACTTTCCGCCTCACCCCATATCACCGGGATCTGCGACGCCTCCCAGTCGCAGTTGAAATCAGAACAGCCAAGAAGCGTTCTTTCTGTGCGCATTATCCTTCTCCGGTCCGAATCGAGACGAGAAACGCGGCGCCGTCGAGTAATCGCATTGGTGGTGACATTGGGTGGCTTGTTTCTGCAATACGAGAATATATAATTTGAGGGTCTCAGGCGCGGCTTAATAGAAGCCTGGATTTGATCAAGCTCTTGCGACGAGTGGTATCCACCAAACCTGTGCGATACCCCATTTCCACCGCCTCATTGCAAACCGCAGTGCAGATTGATTCAGTCTGCATCCTTCCAATTCGGCCAGGAATCCCACGTCTTTCGTGTGCTGAAGCCGATTATCGATACATGTTTCACGAGCCGTTCTCTGAATGGTCATCTTTCCCGTTTGGAGCCCTCCCTGATTCAGCCTCGAAGATTGCGAACCTCCGGGTCGACTTTGGATTTCAGACGCGCGCAACCCCAACTTTTTTTTGGAAGAACCGACTCTCCGGCATCATACTTCGGTTTTGGGTGTATAAGACGTGAAGATGGGTTGCATGAGCTCCAAACCCGCTGAACAGGCGGACAAAGAAGCCGTCCAACGGACTGCCAGGATAGACAAGAGCTTGAAAAATGACAAGAAAGTGATGGACCGGACGATCAAGATCCTTCTCCTCGGTACGTTCTTGGATAAATCGCGATATCTAAGCCAGGCAGTCAAATACTCACATCCCTTGAAACAGGTGCTGGTGAATCCGGAAAGTCCACGATCATTAAACAGATGCGCATCATCCACGCTGGTGGGTTTCCAGAGGACGAGCGTTGCCAAACGCGTGCGGTGATCTATTCGAATATTGTCATTGCGTTCAAGGTCTTGTTGGAGATTATGCGCGCGGAAAACATCGATTTCCAGGTTGAAAAAACAAAGGTACGAGGAATAGAACTGCAGAATACTGGGTTTCTTTCGGGTCCGTTTACTGACTCGATATGCCTACAGCCATTGGCAGACTATGTGGACAACCTGGAGCCTGATGTAGGCTCGGACGAAGCGTTTTCTGACCTCAAAGTCCGCGACGCTATGAGGGGGATGTGGGAGGATACTGGTGTCCAACAAGCCGTAGCCCGGGGTCACGAATTTGCCCTTCACGATAACCTGCATTAGTGAGTTCTCGTGTTTTCATGTTGCATGATGGCATCTGTTGACATTGAACCAGCTTTTTCAACTCCCTTGATCGGATATTCACGCCTGGCTGGCTCCCTGACAATCAAGATATGCTGCAAGCCCGTCTGCGGACCACTGGAATTACGGAAACCCTTTTCGAACTTGGTCAAATGAACTTCCGCATGATGGACGTCGGTGGACAACGATCTGAGAGGAAGAAGTGGATCCACTGTTTTGAAGGCGTTCAATGCTTGCTTTTCATGGTCGCTCTCTCAGGTTATGACCAATGCTTGGTGGAGGACCAAACTGCTGTCAGTACCCAGCATTCCTCATCCCCAAGCCCCTTCACGCACGTTATTAACAGATCCACAGAACCAAATGCACGAGGCGATGATGCTCTTTGAGTCCTTGGTGAATGGCGAGTGGTTCAAGCGAAAGCCAATCATTCTCTTCCTGAACAAGATCGATCTCTTCAAGGGGAAGCTTCATGTTTCTCCGGTATCCAAACACTTCCCCGATTTCAATGGCTCCGATACGGACTTCGATGCCGCGGCGAGGTATTTTGCCGACCGATTCCGCGGCATTAACCGCATTCCTGATCGTGAGATCTATATCCATTACACGAACGCCACCGATACGACGTTGCTCAAAGCGACCATGGACTCGGTTCAGGATATGATCATCCAGAAAAACCTTCACACTCTTATTTTATAGTCTGTCTTCGGGGATGATTCTACCTTTACGAAGTTCTCCGCGAGCATGAGACCCAGGGCCCTATCCTTCTCTTCTAGTACATGTTGCATTGCTGAGCGCTTCCTTTTCTCATGGCATCTGGATTATCTCCTTCGTCCTTTGGCCCGCCCTGATATGCCTCTCCTTCGTTCTCCTTCGTTTCTTGGTGCGGCTGCGGTCGACTGTCACTTTCTCGTCATGCTATTCGGCATCAAAAGCTTACACCGCATGTGACCTTACATTTTCTTCGGTTTGGACTTGTCAGAGTGATACCATCCTTTTGTATACCTGAATTTGCTCTGATCTAATGATTCTCCTTTCTTTTCGTTTCTACATATATATGATCTGTACTATTCTCTGGCCGATATGTCTTCGTTTCTTCTCGACTCAGCTCTTTCGATTTGTCACGGCCTTGATACCCTCAGGGGTCTCTGCTACCCCCCGGCAAAAGGCTTGCATAGTATTTCAATAAACAGCTTTGACACCTGTAAATAGATATTGGATACACGCGATCTGAATAAGTAGCTCTCTTTGATCAAGGTATAAATCACCTGACTGTGGGCGGTGAGACTCCTGCCTTAGGTGTCGTACGCGCCTTACCTAATTGGGGTTCCGCATGATCGGCCCAACTTCGATTTCGCCTCACCCGGCTTTGCTTCCGACAACTTCGTCACCCCAGTTCCTGGGCCCCTTCACCTCACACAATGTTGTCGTCTTCGATACGCCGGGCTGCATGGGCCCCTATTGTGCCCATCTCCGGCATCGCTCGCGCATCCAGTCAAGCTCTTCCCGGTTCCTCGAACGGCCTGCTCGGCGCAACGCAGCATGTCCGCCAGCGCCGCTACTCCTCCTCGTCCTCCAAGCCCAGCGACGGCTCTCGGGGTGTCGACGCCTCGTCCCAGACGCCCACCAAAGGCGTGAACGCCGGCGAGAAGAAGGAGGGCAAGGCGTCTCGGCGGCGAGGCCGTGACGGCGCCGGCCGCACCGGCTCCAAGTCGAGCCAGAACGCCGCCTTCTCCAAGCTGCCCAGTGTGCCCTCTACGCAACACCTCCAGCCGCATGGTAAGCCGAGCTGACTCTCTCCATAAGCGTGCAAAGGAGCCCGGCGCCCGTGGCCCGTCCGGCAACGCCTGTTTAAGGATTAAGAATCATATGACTGACCGCTGCAATCTCCTCCAGACGTCCATGTAGCGTCGTTCTTCTCCATCCACCGCCCCATCTCCGTCTCGACGACTGTTCCTCCCCCGTCCAGCCCCGAAGCCTTCGATGCCCTCTTCACCGCCCGCAAGCCCACGAAACCGGACACCGACGACGTGATCTTCACGCTGTCGTCCGCCGTCGACTCCATGGAGCACGGCGCCGTCGAGCACGAGGGCGCGTGGCCGCAGTCCCTGGACGGCGAGGCCGCCTCCCTCGATGCCATGAACATGGGCGATCTACGCGTCTCTGTCGAGGAGCTCACGAAACGCCTGCGTCCGTTCCACCCGCCCCCGCCGCCAGTGCCCTTCGACCAGGCCGCCGCCGCCGCCGAGGCCGCCAAGCAGCACGACAACACGTCCAGCTACTCCACCGTGCTGACCATCCACGAGTCCAAGCACGCCGACGGCAGCCGCACCTACGAGGCGCACACGACGCCCTTTGTGCGCACCCCCGACATGGACGCCCCCGGCGCCACCGCCGACCCCGAGGCCGTCATTGATATGCCCCGCGGCTCCGGGTCGACGTACATGGAGCGTCTGCGCAATAACCGCACGATGCATGCCATCAGCACCAAGAGAAGACGTAAGCTCAAGATGAAGAAGCACAAGTACAAGAAGCTGTTGCGGAAGACGAGAACGCTGAGACGGAAGCTGGATAAGGCGTGATCGGACTGGTTGGCCAGCCTGTATCTGCCTTTCCCTGTTTGCGTCGATTGTCTGGTGGTTCTCGGTTTGTTGAATTTTGCGCTGTCGAAGTGTTAGACTTGGGAGCCTGTTGGGCTCCCCGGTTTTGTCTTGTCTGTACCTGCTGTGGCTCTCATATCCTTCGTATTGCATATTGCATCGTCCTTTTATAGACAATATCATACATATTTATTGATGGTTTTTCGTTCGAACTGTAGGCTGGAGATGGGTTGGCTGCACATGCAGATCCTAGACTACACCATCCATGCGTCCAGGCATACCAATACAGAACAAAATAAGATTGTACGTTGAATAGACCAAGTATCTAAAACAAACAACCGACCAAAAATAGAAGCACATTCCAGCATTGCAATAATGATCCGGTCTAGGATCACAGTGACTCCCATAAAGTACAGTTCAGCGCAGACCTCACCCATGCAATGTATCTAACCCCTGACGAAGCACGCCACCCCGTGCCGTCTCTGCCAGCAATTTCTCAACACTATAGCCACTTGCAGTCCAGAACAGACCAGCCAAGCGGCTCCCCTTCATTGCTCTGATTCCCCCGCGCTTCAGCTCTAGGAGACAGATAGAACGGAACCTGCTATCTGTCACCCGAGAGGAAGAAGTTCAAAGTCCGATGCCACACAGTATACGAAATTCGAGCGATCTCTGATTCCTTGATATACTCCACACGCTAAGAAAATAAGCCAGAAACCCGCTTGGCGGTTTTCCGATCGTCCGCTCCGAGGGCGAGGGGGGTGTTGATTTAGCAGCGGACGTCGATGCTCCCGCGCGAGTTCATCAGAAGGGCAACGATGAGTCCGTAAAGACCTGCGGGGCGATGACCGTTAGCAACCTGACACAGCACCGAGGGCTGCGGATGGAACTCACCCAGGACTTCAGCGAAAATGAGAATCAGGATCATGCCGACATAGAGTCTGGGCTGTTGAGCAGTTCCACGGACACCAGCATCACCAACAATACCAATGGCAAAACTGCGGAGAGAGTGTGGTTAGCGACTCGTCGTTGGCACGCACTCGGCGCTACATACCCAGCTGCCAAACCGGCCAGACCGACGGCGAGACCAGCTCCCAACTGAATGAATCCGGTGTATAGAGGGAGCCTTTGTCCCAGGTTGTTGGCGATCAGGACGGACACGACCAGGCCGTAGATACCGATGATACCAGCCATGACGATGGGGACAATGTCTAATCGACACTCGAGTCAGACTCATCATGTAGCTTTATATGGGAAGTCGGCGATGTCAACGTACTCTTGACGATCAGATCGGGTCTCAGGACGGCCATGCTGCAGACACCGACACCAGCCTTGGCGGTTCCATAGGCAGCTCCAAAGCAGGTGAAGACGATGGCTGAGGTGCAGCCCAGCGCACCGAAGAAGGGCTATTTCAATCACGAGTCAGAGATCATGAACAAAGATGGTATGTAGATCGAAAACCACGGTGTTCCGATGCAGGAGGGTGACGATGACGAAGCCGACCCGTGAGTAACGCGGAGCTTTGCTGTCGTCGGGAACGCAGTAGGATAGAAAAACTTACCGCATAAACAGGGCTATTCGAAGCATATGTTAGCATCCGATGCGTTGCTCAGCATAGAGAGATGTGGAATCATAGGTACACCACGGGGTAGTGGTCCAAACACCGGAAAAGGAGACGAGTCGAGGATTACGTACCAGAGTTCAGTGGCCATTTCGAATGGTTGAACGGGATGAAGGGTTGGAGATGAAGACAAGGAGGTATAGAGACGGCGAAAGAGAGAAAGTCACGGCAGGTGTAGACGACCGTTGCGATGAGGAGCGAGACGGAGATGGGGGCTGAGGCGAACACGCTGGTTGCTGCTTCGGGGAGGCGGACAGACCGCCTGTGCTGCCACGTGATGCTGGCTTGGCGATGTTCGTCATTTCCAGTTTAGTCCATCTATCTAGAAGACTGCGTAACTATAGTATTATTACTAACATCCTTCTATGAACACATTGATAACTATAGCTCAGTCACTTGTAACGCCTCAAAACTTTGCATACGCAGATTTCCCGTTGACATCAAACAGAGACAACCCGGCATCCAGTCCATTGATACTTTGGGCCACCTGGAAACCTCTGCGGCGGCGTTCTTCAATCGCGTTCATCAACTTTGACCCGTCACTGTGAGAACCGCTTTCCTCTTTTGACTGCAAAGGGGAACTCTGATCACCAGATGGAAGGTAGCCGCAGTCTCGCAAGAACTCGGCAGGTGGAATTGTCTTCCGTCCCTTCTTGAAGACAATCCGAGCAACCGATATAGCCAAA